TCTCTCAGGGCCTGATTCAAGCACCCCACAGAACACACGAGGACTCCCCACAATAGCCCTGGCCTCCCACCTGAACCCCAGGGCCCACACTGTGCCTGCTGTGTCCATCGGCCACCTATGTGTCTGTACCTTTCTATGTTCCTCCTTCACCTCCATTCCTGGAGGTTCCCAGAGGAGGCCTACAGTGGGTCATAGGGCTTAGAGAACTCGCTCGGTGTTAGAAAGCTGAGTGGGGAGAGGGGGAGAAGGGGAAGGGAAGGGAGAGGAGAGAGACCGCGCACAGCACAGATCTGAAAACATGACACACAAGACAGACGACCCAATATATGATACTTAGCGGTGTTAGACATGTAACACAGAGAGAACACACTGCCCAGAGGACAGGAGAAGTCTGGGCATAAGCTGTGCACTACGGGACCTGAATACAAATACCGTGCTATAGCACTTGGACACTGAAAACCAGTATGGGCAGGTGGTCCCCTCAACTCAAATGACATCCATCATCTCTCCGCACATCTATCCATCCACTCACTTATAATCCTTCTTCCATGCACCCCTATATAAATGAAGATAGTGTCTGTAATTATATGCAGAAAATACCAACAGTAATTATTTCAACTTTTAATTTTTTTTTTTTTGGTTTTTCAAGACAGGGTTTCTCTGTAGCTTTGGAGCCTGTCCTAGAACTAGCTCTTGTAGACCAGGCTGGCCTCGAACTCACAGAGATCCACCTGCCTCTGCATCCCGAGTCCTGGGATTAAAGGTGTGCGCCACCACCACCCGGCTTTTAATTTTATTTTTATGTGTGCGTCATCTGCACTGCATGTGTATCTATACACTACATGCCTGGTGCCTGCAGGGGGCAGCAATTGGAGCTACAGACTATTGTGGTGGCTGGGAACTGAACCTGAGTCCTTTGGAAGAGAAGCTAGTGCTCTTAACTACTGAGCCATCTCTCCAGTTCTCAGGAAGAGAAGCTGCCCTATTTGGGCCCTTCCAGAGCATACAATGGTTAGCTAGCTTCTACACACACACACACACACACACACACACACACACACACACACACGCACAGCATCTTGGGAAGGCAGGGGAGGAGAGATTGGAAGCAGTAATACAGACGTGTCAGCACAAACAGCTAACAGGTAAACGGAACTGACTTCAGACTTCATCACAGTTCTGGGGGCAGAGCCTCTCATTTGCCAGGACTGAATATTGCTGTGTATTAGGTTGTGAATGCAAGCCACAGCTACCTCCACAGGCAGTCTTTGGGTTGGGCATGCTGGCACTTGGGCCTGGGAGGAAAGGTTCTGATGGGGACATACCCTAATCAGAGATTTTGCTTTTTGGGTGGTGGTGGTGATCGGTGTGTCTATGTAGCCCAGGCTGCACTTTACTGGACTGTAGTTTGTTCTCTGAGAATGGGGTTCATGTAGTATGTATTCTTATCGTATCCACCCTCCATTCCCCGTGTCCAATCCTCGCCAGGCCTCCTGCCCAGTTTTATGCCCTCTTCCTCCTTTTTGTTCTAACCTGCCAAGTGATCACCACTCGTGTGTGCACGGGTGTGAAGTCATCACTGGAGCACGGTCAGCCTACTGGGGGGCCTCATCCCTGAAGAAATCTTTCTCCTCAAGCACCAGGCAGTAATTCTTGATCCTGCTGCCTCAGCCTCCCAGGTGCTGGGATTATGGATCTGGCTTTTCTGTGGTCTCTCTCTTTTTTTTTTAAACAACAACAAAGCAACCTCAGATATATTTCTGTATGTGTGTGCATGTATGTGCATGGAGAAGCCAGAGGTCAACTTCTCCACCCTCCCTTCTCTTTGAGGCAGGGTCTCTCAGTAGCCTGGAGCTGGCCAGGTGGGTGAGGCTGGCTGGCCAACAGCCCCAAAGATCTGCCTGTCTCTACCTCCCAGCACTGGGAGAACAATTGTGTGGACTCAGTCATTGCTTGTTTTGGTTTTGGAGGCAGGGTCTCACTATGTAGCCTTGGCTGGTCTTGAAGTCACAGAGATTTGCTTCCCTCTGCCTTCCAAGTGCTGGAATTAAAGGCATAAGCCACCATGCTTATAGTTTTTTTTTAAAATGTACATTCTAGGAATTGAATTCAGATCCTCTTCGCTTAACCTACTGAGGCATCTCTTTGGTCTGCATGTAACTTTGTACATGTGCTTACATGTTTGTATTTGTGTGTATGTGTCTGTGCACGTGACTGCTTGTGAGTACACTGTGCTTTTGTGATGATGTGCCCATCTGTGTGCGCACATACATGTCTGTATGCTATTCACATGTAGGTTTGCAATTTGCACATGCCTGTGTGTTGCACATGTCTTGTGTGCACATGGCAGGGCAACCTCTTCAGGAACTCACTTTTGCCCTGGAGCATCTGGGACGAACTGTTCGAGTCTCCTCTATGGGCGCTAATGTGGCAGCAGGACCAAGGGCTCCCTAGGTGGTAGCCCCATAGGACCCGACGGTTGTGGGAGTGTTTTGGAGGTAGAGGAAAACAGGTGACCTCAGATCCTGGTGGGCGTGCTTCTCACCCACAGCAGCAGGGTCGGAGCCTAGGACAAGCTGAATTGGGGTACTGTATGTGCTGAAGGCCCACGGGTATCCTGAGAAGATTTCATTTAACAGGAAGGAGTCGAGTGGAGGGGAGAGGAAAAGGCAGGAGGCAGGGAGGTAAGCAATGAGTCAGAAGGGCTTCAGGTGGGTCAGCCCTGGTTCATCAGCTACCCGTGTCCAAGGGAAGTAGCAGATATGCCAAGGGAGGAGGCGGATGGCGGCACTGGCGTGGAGCAGCCTTTCTTATGTATTATGTCAGTGGTGCCCCCTCCCCGCCCACGCCACGGCTCTCTGCTTTCATCTCTTAGAAGCTGGGCCTGGGAAGAGAGAGACTGAGAGGAAGAAAGCCCCAGGCTGGGTCCCATGAATGGCCCCCCAGGAGCCCTGGCACACACTGGACTGTTCTTTGAATCCTGGCTGTTCTGGGCTTAATTAACGAGTAGCTCAGGGGCACCCCTTTCTCCTTGTTCAGAGAGAGCCCCAGCACCATGGAAACCTCTTCCAAGCTCCTCAGGCAGGCACCGTCTAATGGGGCTGTCCCTCCAGCTGTAACTGGGTCCAGCTTGAGGGAGCCCATGGGAAGACATGCTAGCCAAAGGCCATTAGTGGGTGCCTGTGCAGACAGGCCAGCCTGTTTCCATCCCCATCATTCGTATTCCGAACCCGGCAGTGCTGCCAAAAGGAACAAGGGATTCAAATTCTTCCTGTGTTCCCTGGGGACTTGGGGGAATGGTGGATTTAAAATGTGCCAGTCAGGCACGGAATTACAGCTCCCCAGGCTTTAAGAAGGCATGCGTGAACCAGGCCTGGTGGTACAGGTTTATAGTCCAAGCTCCTTAGGAAGTTGAGGCAAGAGGGCCCCACATTCAAGGCATGTCTTGGCTACAAGCTGAGTTCAAGGCAATCTGGGTGATTTATTGAGATTGTGACTTTATTTTTTTTTTCATTAAAGAGCTGGGGAATGAGTGAGATGGCTCAGTGGGTTAAGGATTTGCTGCCAAGCCTGATGACCCGAGTTCAATTCCTCGGGTACCAACATAGGAGAGAAGTGTATCTTGCAAGCTTTCCTTGGATCTCCGTGGCATGCTGTGATGCGTGGACATGCACATGCGCAGACACACTTTTTACACAAGGTCTGGGAGATGGCTTGGTGCCATGTAAGCACGAGGACCTGAGCTCAGGTTGCTGCCACCTGCTGGATGAGGTAGCATTACATCTGTAGCCCAGCATGGGAAGGCAGAGACAGGGGGGTTCCTGGAGCTCATTAGTCAGCCTAGTTGAATCAATAGGGTCCAGGTCAGCAGAAGTTCCCATCTCAAAGGATCCAGAGGAGCTGGAGAGATGGTTCAGCAATTATGGGTACTTCTTGTTGCTGAGGACCCAGGCTCTAGTTCCAGTACCCACATGGTGGTTAGTAATTTTAACTCCAGTTCCTGGGGGATCTGATGCCTTCTTTTGACCTCCAAGGGTACCATGTACATAGACATATGTGCAAACAAAACGCTCATACACTTAATCCTTAAAAAAAATTATACATAAAAAAAGTTGTGGAGCAATCGAGGAATACACCGGACACTGAACTCTGGCACACACACCCCTGAACATCCACACAAACACACAGGCATACACACACACACACACATGCAAAAATCTAAATGTTCTCATTACAATTTTTGTGTATACATGCACCATGACATACATACAGACATCAGAAGACGAGTGGAATCTGGCTCTCCTTCCGCCATGGCGGTCTTAAGATTGAATTCAGGCTGTCAGGCTTGGCATTAGGTGCCTTTATCTACTGAGCTATCTTGCTGGCCCTAAATTACCATTTTTTAAAAATTTTATTTATTATGTATACAACATTCCTTCCATGTATGCTTGCATGACAGAAGAGGGAACCAGATCTCACAGATGGCTGAGTCACCATGTGGTTGCTGGGAATTGAACTCAGGACCTCTGGAAGAAGAGTCGGTGCTCTTAACCTCTGAGACATCTCTCCAGCCCTAAATTACCATTTTTTAAAAAAGCTGGGTGTGGTGGTGCATGGCTTTAATCCTATGCCAGCCAGTGCTATATAGCAAGGCCCTGTTTAAAGAGGGGGAGAGAGAAAAATTAAGACCAAAAAGGCCAGGGACCCACTGCTGACTGTTCTGAGTCATCCTGACAGCTTCATCTGCCAGCTTTTAGATGTAATTTCTCTCATTTTAATAGGGGCTTGCCCAGCTGTGGCCTGCGCCAGAAAGGTAGTCAGTTAGAGTGGCTGCTGTATGCGTATGCAGGCTCTGTGGGTCTGGGGAGGCAGGTGCCTGGAGAAGGGGCCAGCCTGGGTTCACACCAGTTGTGTTTACTGAGTCTCTGGTCTTCAGAGTGCCTGAGCCAGGTGGAAGCGATCGCTGCTCTCTCCCACCCCCAGAGGAATTTGCAATTAGTTTGACCAGGATATAATGGAATTTTTATTTAGATCTCAAAGGTTAGAGCGCTTTCCTGGGAAGGTATTTATAGCTTTAAAGGAATCTACACTGGTTAGCTCGTTCTTTTCTAATGATGGTCTCTTCACCGAGGGTTCTGGGTCTGTGAAACTGAAGGCATGGTCCTCACTCCCCTCGTCGGGAGACAAAAATAGACATTATCAGACAGAATACAGCCAGCACCTGCAGCCAGGGTCACTCAGCCACAGCCCTTCCTTGGTGCTGAAATGGACCCACGACAAGCTCCCAATGTACTATGGTACTTTACAAAACACCAGGCACAGGGCCCTGGCGATTTCTGCTCAGCCATCAGGCAGTTTAGAGGGACTACGGTCTTGGTGGCTTCTGACAAAACCCCTTTCAATGCTGCACGCCCCCGTGATAACACAGCATCAAGAATGCACTGAGGGGCTGGTAGTGTGGCTCAGTGGTAGAGCACTTGCCTAGCTCATAGTAGGACTCAGGGTCCATCCCTAGTGCCCCACAAAAGCTCACTATAGGTTTGTTCTCCATCCACACTCAGCTTGCTGCTGCCTGTTTTGCTAGCTTTGGGAAGCCTGGATTGTACCAGCCCCCTCTCAGCACTTCCGTCTCAGCTGCATGTGGTGGGTGGAGGTGAACCAAGGGCAACAGAGGGCTGTGGTGTTCCTAGATCTCGCTATTTCGCTGGGGTGGCGTCTTCAGGATGGTAACCCCAGTCTATTCCTGGTTTTTGAACCAGAGGTATCTTCTTCCCCCAGTCACGGGTAAGAGGAACACCATCCCACAGGGTCCCTATAAGCCCTGTGTCCCAAGCCCAAATGGCTTCCTGAGCACTCTCCAGAGCCGCCCAAGGCCTCCACCCAGCACCTCCTTGGTGTGAGTAGCACCTTCACCTTTCCAGCTCTCCACACAGGACAACTGGCCCAGGGCAGGCTCAGCAGGTTGGTTGCTGCCCACCGGTGGAGTCATGAAGAAAGCATGGTTTCTTCCAAAGTTGGACAACCTACCAGCCTTCAGAGAAGTCTCACAGCTGCTCTTTAAGATCAAGGTGATGTGAAGGTGTTGCCGTGGAAATAAGGGCACAGAGACGTCATTTACCCATCTCAAGTGCACATACCTGGGCCCGCTTGGTCCTGAATGTTAAGGTCTGAGGCCCTTTCTTTCTGGAAATGTTTCCACTCCTAGTCTCCCCCAGGGATGAATTTTTCTACTTCCTACCGCCCCACTTACAATTCACAGACCACAACTGGCTGGGTCCTGGACCAATCACACTCTCAGCAGGGTTGGCCCAGTCTCTGGCTCCTCTTCTCATAGCTGATCCTACCACAGCCACCCCCCCCCCCCCCCGCCATTGGCCTACAGCTCACTCCACCCACAGTCTCTGTAGTTTGGGCTTTGCCAATGGCCCTAGCTGGCCAGCCACATGCTGGAGGACTTATGCCTCCGAAAGCAAGCCAAGCACGAGGAGTCTGCTTATCTTATAGACCAGGCAAAGTCCAAAGCTGGACTGACTGGCTGAAATCCTACACATTTGCTCCTGGGGAGCCAGCAGCAGCTCTCTGCACTGTTCCTAGGTCCCACAGAAGTTACCCCCCCCCCCCCCAGGGCTCTCTGCGTCAGATCAGCCAGGGGCAGCCTGCTGTACCAATGGGGCCTGGGTGGGGAGCACAGGACACAGGACACCGGCCAAAGACAGAGGCTTGAGGCACCGTCATTTACTGAGGTAGCTTCAAGACAGGGTTTACCTTTAATAGATTAGCTGCTGCACCAAAGGACAGGAGGGTTGTAGCTTTCCTGTTTGCAGGGACATGTTCTCAGAAAACTCAAGTGCAGGGGCTGATCTTGACTTCACTGTCCACTGGCCAGGCTGGCTGCACAGATAAGCCTCACACCTACAGACCCTGCCCCCTTTCCTGAGGTGGGGGCAGCCGAGGTGAAGACACCCCCCTTTACCCCTGCCCCCCCACCAACCTAGAACTCCTGAATGTTCATGCTCAGAACACTCAATGCACAAATGGCTGCTATTAAATAAGAGAGAGGACAGAGCAGCCACATAAGGACCTTTGGTCTTGGGGAAGGTACAGGCACAAGAGGGGGCCACTTGTAGTCACCTTCTTGTGCCCGAGTGGATGGACTGAAGCTTCAAGTGGTGGCATCAATCACAGGGAACACACCCAAGTTGTGGTGGGGAGGCAGATCTACAGAGGGCTCCACTTGGCTGCCACGTTGGTAAAATTACCAGTACACAGGGAAGAAAACTAATTTGGCGGACAGCCCACAGGCAAAGTGCATAAAAAACTGAGCCTGCCAGGGTCCTGGCTGAGTTGTTTTTTGCCCCCTGGTGGAGAAAAGGGCTAGGCAGGTGTGCTTGGTCCCATCACAGTATTAGGGGCCCTTTCCCTGTCCTGGGGCAGGTCGACAAAGTTGGGTTCCATCTTCCTGGCCTCTGGCCGCAAGCCCAGCTCCCATCCTGAGGGTCCCATGCCCAGCCTGCTGTGTGCAGCATTAGGAAGGTGTTCTGTGGAGGACGCCAGCAGTAAATAAATGGTCCCTAACAGCAAACCTGGTGTCCCCACAAGTCTAGTCCAAGAAGGAACTTTCTAGCACTAGGTTTTGCCTAAGAAAAAAGCCAGTCCCATGGGGCCAGAAAGTCCCATCCCCAGTGATCTATGGAGACAGCCAGCAGTCAGTCCCACAGGCATGACAGGGAAGCATGGACGGCAGACCTGAGCTACACAGAGCATGGATACCCCTAAAACCCTGCCCAAGCCCCAAACCCCTCATTCTCACCCACTGACAACAGCTAATTTCACAAACTGGGACCAAGATCTCAACTTCTGGTGCTGAGTGGGCCAGGTGGCACTGGTGCCAGGTGACAGGGCTGTCCCTAGGTCGACACTGGAATTTGTTCTTCCCTGAGACTTGTCTCTTCTGGGATGGTGAGCTGGCTCCTGGCCCTGCTCTCCGTCTCCTCTCTTGGTGACCTGTGGCTCTGTCCTCGTGCTGTCTCTCAATACCTGCTGAGCCACTCCATGTCACACTGCCAGGTGATCTTCAAAGAATTCATCCTCCCAAGGGGACGGAGGTGGTGGGGGGTAAGAGAAAGGGGAGCAAGGAGCCCATGGGACAGGGGCTCATCTGGGGACCCTGATGTCCGTAGCTTCTTGCTGGCTTAGATATGACTGTGTTCTGCTGAGGGGACAGGAGACTTAGCTGTGTGACCTGTAAGGCACTGAGCAGCACAAGATGAGGAAGGCTGCATCTCATGGCAGCTGGCAGTGCCAAGGTCAAGGGCAGGTGGCAGACTTTGCAAGACTCCCTGCTGCCCTGATTTGGGGTGGACATATCTGTGGGCACTGGAAACACACGGGCTGAAACCAGAGATGGAAGTGGGAGGTGGCCGCATGCCCTCCCCAGAGAGCAGCGTAGAGCCACCAGGATCCCTCAAAGGCACAGGCACAATACATAAGAAAACTGATGGTTGAGGTGTTCCCGAGGTGGACTCTTTCCCTAGCAAGATAGGTCATCTTCTCAAATTCAGTTAGCGAGTCCTCTAACCTGGCCCCACAGCCACCTCACCTGGAGGCAATGACTGGGGTCCTAGAATGGGGAGGGGCTTTTCTTCCTGGGCAGAAATGGCGAAAAGATAATATCATCGGAGTCGTCGGAGCAGACATCCTCCTCAGGGGTTGGTGACGCTGTGGGCTGTAGTCCTGGGGGAGAGGACACCACTGAAATGAATCGGGAAAGGGAGGTCAGCCACGTGGAGCCAGTCACAGGTGTAGACAGCTGTGAGCTGTACACTCGGCCATCAGCAGATTCTGGCGTGCAAGACTGAAGCCCCAGACACACAGCCAGGGACCTTCAGAGCCTACCTGCACAGCCCTACAGAGCCTCTTGCTAGTTCCTATTCTTGGGACAGTCTGGCCACTGCTGACATGAAAACACATGCAGGCCTGTGGTGGTGGTGCACTCCTGTAATCCCTGCACTTGGAAAACTGATGGAGGAGGATGAGGATGATCACAAATTTAAGGCTAGACTAGGTTATACAGTGAAGTTTGAGGCCAGCCTGGACTACACAGTAAGATTAGCTCAGAAAACAAAAAGGTGCAAAGGGAATCAGAACCAAGTGGCCACTGTGTATAAGCAGGTCCTAGCTGAAGTGGCCCCGAGCTGCCTACCCTGCCTGGTGAGGAGCAGGGATGGAGCACAGGGGACAGAGGGGACGTACCCAGGGATGGCTGAGCACTTCCGGTGCTACTGCTCCTTTCTTCACATCCAAGCAGATCCAAGCACATCACATCCGTCATGCTGGACTGAGGTACATCGTCCAGACTGAATGGGGATGGACAGTCCCAGTGGCCACCCTGGGGGGAGTCGGGCACCGAGGACTGTGAGGAGGCAGGTCCAGCTGCAACGGTCTCTCTCGGCTCCTCCTTGGGACAGAGCCCCACTCGCATTGCTTCTAAAGGGGAGGGGAATGAAATGTTACTGATTTGAGATTTTAAAAGAACAAGATCCCGACCCCATCATGCAACCTGACTTGGCTGTCTGCCTCTTCTCCACAGTTCCTACAAACGGCAATCTCATGTATTTCATAATCTCGGTATGTGTAAACATCAGAGTACCACGGTGCAGAAGTGGAGGGCCAAGGACAGCCTTAGGTGGGGTTCTCAGCTTCCACCCTGTCTGAGACAGGTTCTCTGATGCTGTGTTGCCCTCCGTAGGAATTCTGGGATTGCAGACGCATATGACTATGCCTGGCTTCACAAAGGTGCTGGGGATCTGAACTCAGGTCTCAGGCTTGCGCTCAAGTGCTTCACCCACTGACACACTTCCCTGAATCTTTTTTCTCCTTAGCCCTTTTGTTTTGTTTTTAAGATAGAGGCTTGCCATGTAGCTCTGGCTAGCCTTATGATCCTCCTGCCTCAGTCTCTAGATTCCTGGGATTTTTAGCTTGTGGCACTAGGTTTTGTTTCCTTTTCTTCCTCCTTCCTTCTTCTTGACCCTCTCTTCTTTAAAAAGTTATTTTATGTGTACAGGTGTTTTGCCTGCATGTACATCTGTGCACCAAATGTGTGCAGAGCTATAGAACAAGCAGGGGATTTGGATCCCCTGGAACTGGAGTTATAGAAAGTTGTGAGCTGCCACGTGGATGCTAAAAACTGAACTCAGACCCTCAGCAAGAGCAGCCAACGCTCTTAACCAAGCTCTTTCCTTCCTTTTATGAGACAGTCTCATGTAACTCTGTCTAGCCTTAAAGTCACTATGTGGCTGGTCCAGCCCAGCCCATCCTCTTCCCTTTGCTGGGACTGAGGGCAGGCTCCTCTACATTTAATTTTCTCTAAAATCACAGTCAAGGTTTGGGTGTGGCTGTGATGTCTGTAAACTCACGGGAGTGGCAGACACAGGAAGACTGTGAGAGCCTGTCTCAACAACCAGCCAACTAAAGGACATCCCAACACAGTCAGCTCAAACAAGGTGCCATTCATTCACTTTCTCACATGGATGTATATCCCGAGGGGGTCAATACCTGTGGAGCAGTGAATGCTTCTGGACCAGTCTATACAGGTAGATAGATCTGCCATTTTAAAATCACACTTGACAAGAGGACGAAACACACCATAAACAAACTTTTTAGCCCTGACCAAATAATTTAAATGTCAGCAGACACAGAACCTGATGAGATCAGGACAGACAGCTTTTTGGAGAACTGTCTAAAGCCTCTGGGGGCCTGGGGACTGCAGGCTGGCGGTGGCTTTGGGGTTCTGGTGTCTGTGTGCCTGCCTTCTCTGAAATCCAAGGGCTTCTGACTTGGCTCACTGCGCTTTGCAGAGCAGGGTTTGGAGAGAACAGCAAAGCTCACGGTTTTGCAGCTCTGACACAGCTCAGAAAGTGACAGCTGAAGTCAATGTATGACTTTCAACTGTGATAACACGTTAAACATGGTGTGGCAGGAGGGTCTCTAAACGGACTCCTATGGGGACCCTGGGAACTGAAGAAGAGTGACCAATCCAGTCAGAACCAGCTAAGGGTTGGGAATGTGGCTCAGATGTACACAGTACATGTCTACCACCCCCACCTCTCACCATGAAAGGCGGAGAACGTGTCAATGGTAGAGCACCCCTTACTATGGGGTTGGGGTGTGGCTCAGTGGTAGAGCCTCTGCCTAGAATCCCCCAATGAGGGGCTGGGGTGTGGCTCAGTGGTAGAGCCTCTGCCTAGAATCCCCCTCAGTGAGGGGCTGGGGTGTGGCTCAGTGGTAGGGCACCTGCCTAGACTCCCCCAGTGAGGGGCTGGGGTGTGGCTCAGCCAATCACTTCTCTAGCATGTGCAAAGCCCTAGGTTCCATCTCAAGCACCTCAAAGAAAACATAAACAGGAGGGAGAGAGCTACTAGAGAAGGCCAGCCAGCCATGGTCTCTGGGTGAGGTTGGAATCAGAGTCATAGGCTTGTTTTCATTGTGTGCCTCTTCTGCCATTGGAGTTGGGAGATTGCTCAAGGAGGTGCTCCCTGGCCACCACTGCCACACGTTTACCTGAATAGAACTGCAGGGCTGCTGGCTCTTCTGCCTCATCTTCTGCCTCGGTAGCTTCCCCACAGCTCTCCTTGCTGACCTTCCCTGAAGGACCCCATTCTGGGTAAGGCATGTCAGTCCTGGGCAGGACCAGCCCACCCACCCATTGTCCCAGCAGCCACCCAGCCTCCTGTCCCTAGCAACCAGCACTTCTCAGACCTTGCCAGCCTTCCTTAGTTCCACCTCTGACACCCAAGGGTTCAGATGTCTCTGGGAAGCACCAGGTCCCTGGGGTGTCACACGCATGGACAGAACCTCAGATGAACTTCTGTTTCTAACATGACCCCAGTCCCTAGCAGCCTCATCAATACCAGCCACAGTGAGGCACTACTGTAGCTAAGGCAGGAGCTGGCGGCACAGCCACAGAGAGTAGAGTCCATGGGCTAGCAGACTGTTGGTCTGTTTAGCCCAGCTCTCTACTCGTGAGGAGATGGCCCTCAGGCAGGGGCCTACAGCAACTGCGTCTCAGTGTGGGCCTGATCTCATAGCTGGGAACACAGTCTGCCTGGGTCCTGGACTTGATTTTGATGTGTCTATATGAGTGTATGCATGTGTGTGTGTGTGTGTGTGTGTGTTTGTGTGTAGGCAGAAGCCATTGTTAATCATAGGTAGTGTGATTTCTCAGGTGCTGTTAACTTTATCTTTTATTTTTTGAAATGGGGTCTCTCCCTGGCCAGGAACTTGATGATCTGGCTAAGCAGGCTAGCCAGTGAGCCCCAGGGCCCTTCCTGTCTCTACCTCTCCAGCGCTGATATTACAAGCACATATCACCATGCCTAGGGGTTTTTCAGTGTGGGGCCTGGGAATTTAACACAGTTCCTTTACCAACTGAGTGATCCTTCTGAGTCAGCCTGGGGCTTCTTTAACCAATGTTATTTTCTTTATTGATTTTTTTTTATTATTTTATTTTAGAGACAGGCTCTCTGTGTAGCCCTGGCTGTCCTGGAATTTGCTCTGTAGACCAGGCTGGCCCTGAACTCACTGAGATCTGCCTGCTTCTGCCTCCAGTGCACTGGGATTAAAGACGTGTGCCCCCACTGCCAGCTTGTTGTTGTTTTCAATGGAACCAGGGCCTCACACAGAGTGGAAGAAGTGCTATACACTATGCTACATCTTCAGCCAACTTTGGGGCTTTAATGGAGCAGACAAAGGAATTGTAAGCAGTGTTTCCCTAAACAAGCAGTCAGGAGAAACCCTCAAGGAGCCCTGACGGCTGATGGCTGAAGAAACAGAAGCCAGGAAAGCTTTGACTGCACGGCTTGAGGGTACTTGAGAACACAGGGCCCAAGCCACTGCGGTCACTGGTGCAGTCTACTGGCTCAAACCCCAGCTGTGGCCCCAGCACCAGAGGAGGAGGGGCAAGGTCTGGTTTTCCAGCATAGGTATGAACTCAGGTTGGCTGAGGCAACTCACAGTGGGAATAAGTCCCTTGCATTCTTACCCAGCCTTCTTTTGGCTTAACCCTTGGAGGGCCACCTCCCCCTTGTGGTGGAACCAAACAAAAGAAATTACCAGAAGAAGCTGCTAGGGAAGGTGGGGAGGCGGATCCTGAGGGTGTGGTTGAGACAGCTTCCCTCTGAGCTGAGGCAGCGAGCCCTCTGCAGCAGTTGGCACTGAAAGACAGAAAGCTCTGGCTGAACCAGGGGCTGGACTGATCCACGGGGCAGCAGCCACTTCCACAGGCGAGACACTGCAAGTGTGTCTAGGCCTTGACAATGCTTGCTTGCCCTGGGAGTCTATGCCCTTGGCTCATGTATTCAAGGCCCTGCTGAACCCAGGGTCTTTTTGTTTTGTTTTTGTTTTTTTGAGACAGGATTTTTTTTCTGGCTCTCCTGGAACTTGATCTGTAGACCAGGCTGGCCTTGAACTCACAGAGATCTGCCTGCCTCAGCCTCCTGAGCGTTGGAATTACAGGTGCGTACCACTGTGCCAAGTTGCATTTTTCTTTAAAAGGGACAGTATATGAGCCCAAGTTCACGATGCCCACACACTAATGTTCCACTCGCTGTCCATATACCTCCTTGCTTCCCCCATCATAGAGACATGTTCTAGGACGGTCTTCTCCAGAGGGTGAGAGCCTACAGCCTACCCAATAGTGGAAGTGAAGCTAGGATATCTGTAAAGGCCTACCAATTGCTACAGTGAACTGCCAGGCTATGGCTCACAGAATCATGACAGCACATCATTGTGAATCCCACGGGAGCCCTGGATAGCCACAAAACGGGTGCCCCCATTCCCCGAAGTAACAGCACAGAGATGCCTGTGGCCCACTCACATGAACCTGGCCTGGGCCAGGTATCCCCGGAGGATGGACTGGATGACAGTGATGGCCTCCTCTTGTGCTGGGCTATCTTCAGGCTGGAAGGTGGGGCTTGGGACACGAGATGTGGGAGAGCTCTGCAGCTAATGACAACAGGAGAGAGACCTGTCTGGGGCCACCCAGGTGTCCCCAAATGCAGCATGCAACTATTGGACAGGAAGGGCGTGCTTTCCAGCTGCACCCCCAACAGCGCTCCTCATCAGCAGTCACTGTGAGGCCTGCTTGGACCCCACCAAGGCTAAACCAGTCCTGGATGTGTCAACGGGACCACTGCTGGGCTGCCCCTGACACGGATGGATGAAGCACCAGGCACATCTGCCCAGCTAGGAAGACGAGAAGGCTGCAAAGGGCTTGAGATTCCTCTGCTGAAGAAGGGTTGAGCAGCTGGTGTCTGTCCAGCCAGATGGTTACCTGGTTGGGAAGGCTGGGAAGGCCAGGCAGGCTCGGAGACCTGAAGTCTAGAGCTTTGTTGTGTAACAGCTTAGAACGAGCTAGGTGTCCCCTGAAGGCCGCCTGGAGCACAGTTGCTGCCTGGCAGGAAAGAGGGAAGGACTCGGTTTCTAGAAGACTAAAGGGGAACAGAGAAAGCTCGTCCTGTGGTGTAACCTCACGGGCATGACACAGTGCCTCCCGTCTGGCCCTCCTAACCCCACATGCTGGCGCATGCACACACACTGGACCACAGGGAGGGAAAGGCACGTGCTGACTGCCGCAGCAAAACAGTCCTGAACACAGTCCAATCAGGGGCTAGGACAGTTACACCAGCCGCTAAGATTAGCTCAGACTTCACACGTTGTTTCTGCTTTTTGAGTCGAGGTCTGGCTACACAGCTGTGGAAGACCTCAAGTGTGTGCTGAACCTCCTGCTTCTGCCTCCTGAGTGCTGGGATTACAGGTGTAGGCCACAGTGCCTGCTCTCCGGACTTCACACACTGGGATGTCTTCACAGCAGGGTGGACCTGCTTCATCTACTTCCTTTCACACACATCCTCCAGTCACAAAAGCTACAGAAAGGTCTTTTTCTGTTTTTAGAGTATTGGTGACTGAACCCAGGGCCTTGTGCATGCTGGATAAGCACTCTACCATTGAGCCATGTTCCCAGCCTTTCTGTAGATATGGTATCATGAAGTTTCCAGCCATGTCTGCTCCTCACATCTCTTGGGATTTGTTTTGAAGGTGAACGGATGACCGTACACAATGGCCAATGAAGAGCAGTAACTGAGGCCAGAGACATCCAGCCGCAGATGTAGGCTGAACTCTGGCTCTGGCTATGTTAGAACACCCAACAGCTGACAGTGTGCAGGCTGAAATCCAGTCCCATGTAAGCTAATCTAGCTAGCAAATGATAGAGCAAGAATGAATATAGGGGCAGGAAGAAGCCACAAGAGGAGGGCTTGACAGTACAGACTTGTTATCTCAACTACTTAAGACAAGTTCAGGGCCGGCCTAGATATGTGGCAAAGCCCTGTCTTAAAACAAAAATATAGGGAAGGCTGCAAGCATGGTGTGGCAATAGAAGATCTGCTCAGAAAGACCCAGTGGAGAGGCTGGGGTGTGGCTCAGTGGTAGAGCCCCTGCCTAGAATCCTCCAGTGAGGAGCTGGGGTATGATTCAGTGGTAGAGCCCCTGCCTAGAATCCCCTAGTGAGGAAATGGGGTGTGGCTCAGTGGTAGAGCACCAGCCTAGAATCCCCAGTGAGGGGCTGGGGTGTGGCTCAGTGGGAGAGCACCTGCCTGTACTTCAGTGGTAGGGCCACATCTAGCATGTAGGAAGCCCCAATAACAAATATCAGTCTCTTATTTCAATTTCATGGCCACCTTAACCTGTTCTCCTTCCTGCCAGCTCTTCTGTTGGGATAACCCTACTGTCCTTCTCCATGTGTCCCATGGGGACACCTGGGCTATAGGATGGCAGCTCCAGTTCAGACCCTCTCAATTCTCCCTGCTTTGTGGCATGTGTGTCCTGGCATCTGTGGCTGAGCACGTGGGATTGCTCAGCTCTGAAATGGAAATAGGAGTGGGGGAAAGGGTGTGCTAGGAAATTTTAAAAATGTACAGTTACTCTGGTGTTCATTTTATGCTTCTGTTACTAGAATTTAAACTCTGTGACTGTGTTTGAATTCATTTCCCGAAAACCAGGACTTGAGGAAATGCCTTTAAATACACTTGGCTGGGCTGGAGAGATGGCTCAGAGGTGAAAAGCACTTTCTGTGTAAGCATAACACCTGAATTTGAATCCCTCACACTTCCATAGAGTCAGATGTGGTCACACGTGCCTGTAACCCAGCACATGAGGGTAGATACAGGGGCAGCCAGGTGTGGTCACACGCGCCTGTAACCTGGCACATGAGGGGTAGATACTGAGGCAGCCAGCCTAGCTTCAGGTTCAGTGATGAACCCTGTCTCCATGCACATCGGCACCCCTTACACAAGCGCGTGTATTCCCAGGTCCTCTCCCCGCAGCAGAAACACGAGTCTGGGAACTGGTGAAATTGACTGACTTACCTCATCCAAAGCCGCTTTTCTTTTCTGAAATAAGGAAATTGAGAAATGAATTAGTGTGAGCAGAGTGAAGTCTCGAAAGAGGCTTCCATTCCTTAAAGGAATGTTCTCGTCAGTATCTGTGATGGTTAATCTCACTGTCAACTGACTGGATTTAAAATCACCATGGAAACACGCCATTGGGTGTGTCTGAGAGAGGATTTCCAGATCTCATTAACTGTGTGGGAAGACCCACCCGAAGTGTGGGTGGTGCCACGCCGTGGGCTGAGGTCCTGCACTGCACAGAAGGGAGAATGGAGCCAAGAACAGTCGTCTCTCTGCTGCCTGAAGGTGGACACGATGTGACCAGCTGCCTCGTGCTCCTGGTGCCATGACAGGACCGACAAATGGCGGCCCAAATTTACCTGTCTGTCCTTGAAGTTGCTTCTGGTTGACAGGTTTGGCACAGCAGCAAGAAAAGCAGCTGATGTTGTGTACTGCGTGCAGCAATGGCTGCTGGGATGTTTCCTTCAAGTTTATCACGCACGATGTTGACCCCCACTCTCACCCTCTCTTGCGTCTACCCCACTTTCTACTTCTCCATCTGCGACAGCCAACAATGGAAGAACAGGGCACAGTAGGCGAGTGGCTTCTAAGACTCTAACGGAAAGTTCTTGGTGTGGCGTAGGAGGCCTGGGAACCTTCTTTTGCCAGAAATCAATGACGTGCTCAGTAAGATGACAGCCACAACGGCAAGAGCAAAGGGGCTCTCGGGACCACATCTGGGACAATATTAAGGGGAATAATGATTGCAACTAACTTTTAAAATGATTCAATAAATAAAAGGATCTGAGCCCATATTAATTCTCTTCCCACGAGGGAGAGAGGGAAGCAGGGAGGGGCCCTTGTGTCCTACTAGAAGGGAATAATCCAATAATCACTTGCTCTGGAACTGGTATCTACTCAGAAAAGGAAGCTTGCCTGTCTCCTCAGGAGCACCTGGATCCATGTCCAATGCTGATCATTTGCTATTTACGCCAGGGAAACTGGCTGATAAAAGATGGAACTAGAAACACAGTCCTGTGGCCATCCAAGATGGCTGAAGCTAGGTCACTGGACTGTTACTAGTTTGTTTTTAGAGAGGGTCTCCTGTGGCTTATGCAGACCTTGAACTCCTGATCCTCTTTGGTACTGGGATTACAGGCATGTACCACCTCTCCTTTTGCAGCCCCCCCTTCTGCAAGCATCCCACTCTAAACACAATGGATGACTGCTGGTGTGGGGATGGGGGATCGCGCTGAAAGGATGTGCAAACACACTGGGTCACGGAGCACGTGAACGCCAGATATTCTCTGCAGTTGGACATGAATCAGGAAGCTCACCTTGTGCCTGTGGGCCTTCCATCGGGCCTGCAGGGTTCTGACGGCGGCCTCTCTCCTCTCTTCAGAGCATGGGGTGGGGGACTGGCAGTCAGCCCCCTCGCCAGCACTGGTGGGGGAGTAAGGCTCATTGTCGGAGTCTGGCTTGGAGTGCCTGCTGCAGGGTGATGGAGATCGGAGCTCTGGGTGGGCCTGCAGGAAATGAAAGGGGTCAGCGGCGTTAGTGACGTCATCAGTGGGCAGCGGACAGGATATTAACCAGGATATTACAGGCCTTGCTCATCAGACAGTAGACTTAATAAAACAAAGTCTGAGGCTGGTGCGGTGGCGGTCTTTTTTTGGGCTCTTTTTAAAGATTGATGCGGTATGATAAAAGCGGGATTTGGGAGATTGAAGTGGAGGTATTTCCAGCGTGGCTTTTGGCAGAAAGAGGAACTGAACCATTGAAATGTCGCTGACTGCTGGGTAGTGTTCTTGAAATCTACCCGCCAGGGCTCTTCTCAATAAAATACATATTACTGGAATATTCTCTCCTCACATCAAAAGGCAGGGTCAAGGCTGGGGAGACGGCACCGGCACTGTCAGAAGAGTGTTTACTTTACAAGTGTGAGGCCTGAGTTTGCTCTTCGGCAACCACGTGAAAAGTCAGGAGTGGCGGCGTGTGCTTGTAATTTCAGCACTGGAGAGGCAGAGACAGGCAGAGCCCAGGGGCTTGCTGGCTGGCCAGCCTGCCTCGCCTACCTGCCCAAATGTATCCCCACTGAACACACATTACAGGCAGGTTAAGTGGAGGAGCGTGCTACACAAACAGCCTTCCCAGCCATGGGAGAGATAAGCATATCCCATAGGTAACTGAGGCCACAATGTGCCATTCAGCACTGAAACCAAGATCTTCATTTAGTCCGAGATGATTTTTTTTTTTTGACATGTGTGACAGATGGGAGACCCCGGGACGGGAAGGGTGCTCCTGTGAGGGAGGCTGAGTAGGCAACTCACAGGCCCAGACACATCCCACCCATCTCCTCTGTGTAATCTTCACACTTCAAGATAATGTCTGTTCTTAGAGTCACCTAGGACCAGGGACCCAGCAACTAGGATGCCCTGTGGCTCAGTGGTCACCATAGTTGTTCAAACCAGCCGACTTCATGCTCAGCCATGACATGCTCTTCATGGCCTGTCCTCACAGTGAGGGCCCCGGCTCTGTCTGCGATAGATTCCTGCCTGAACTCATACATCTCTTTTCAGTTTATTTATTGTCTGTGTAGGTTTGTGCACAGAGGCTGTCGGAGGCTGTCGGATGTCTTGCTCTATTCTCTTAAGAAAAAAAATCCCTCACTGAATCTGTATCTAGGCTGGTAGCCACCAAGTCCTGGCTAATCTCCTCTCTCTGACCCAACGTGTCTTTATGTGTGTGGAGCAAAAGTGTTATTCCCTACTGAAGCATCTCCCAAGCCCCTGGGGCTAGCCTTGAACTCTCCATCCTCCTGCCTCGGCCTCTCGAGCGTTGGGATCACTGGCCTGCACCAAGGATGGCCCATGAAAGCTTGTCTACTATGCATTCACATATCAGGTCCTCCGAGAGCAAAGACTGGCACAGGAGGTCAGCCCCCGATGTACTAGTTTCCACCTGTGCTAGTGTCTGGTGTGACACATGGGACAGATTAGAAAGAGGGTACATTCTAGTTCCCAGAAACGAAGGCGTCAACGGCCCGGGGAACAGGGACCAGAGGGCCTCTTGCTGACCCTTTGGAGATGGAGAATACCCAGGTGACCTTCACAGCTACAAAGTCTCTGCTGAGTGACAGGAAGTCCTGAGACTTCCATGAAAAAAAAGGAAAGGCCTGCTGCCATAGGCCTGTAATCCAAGCATTCCAGAAGCTGAGACAGGAGAACTGTAAGTTTAAAGACAGCCTAGGTAACTCAATGAGATCCTATCTCAAAGTAAAACATACAAAGGCGGAGGCTGGAGAGATGGCTCAGTGGTTAAGAGCATTGCCTGCTCTTCCAAAGGTCCTGAGTTCAATTCCCAGCAACCACATGGTGGCTCACAACCATCTGTAATGAGGTCTAGTTCAGACATACAGACAGAATATTGTATACATAATAAATAAATATTTAAAAAAAACATACAATGGCTAGAATTATAGTTTGGTGGTAGAACACCTGCCTAGAACCCCCAGTGAGGGGCTGGGGTGTGACTCAGTGGTAGAGCATCTGCCTAGAATCCCCCAGTGAGGGGCTGGGGTGTGGCTCAGGGGTAGAGCCTCTGCCTAGAATCCTCCAGTGAGGGGCTGGGGTGTGGCTCAGGGGTAGAGCACCTGTTGTGGAATAATTGTTTAATTATGTAAAGATGTGTTTCTGTTTTACCTTGCCTGTTTAAGACACCTGATTGGTCTAATAAAAAGCTGAATGGCCAAAAGTGAGGAGGAGATACAGGCAGAACTGCTAGGCAGGGAGAGTAAGCAGGAGGAGGAATTTAGGCTGGGGTAAGAAAGAAAAACAAACGGAGACGCCAGGGGCCAGCCAGTCAGACACAGAGGAATCAGGAAAGATGGACATACAGAATAAAAGAAAGGTAAAAAGCCCCAAAGCAAAATGTAGATGAACAGAAACAGGTTAAATTAAGTTAAAAGAACTAATGAGACAAGCCTAAGCTCAGGCCAAGCATTCATAATTAATAAGTCTCTGTGTCATGTTTGGGGGCTGGCGGCCCAAGAAAGTCGGCTATATTTGGTGCCCTATGTGGGGTCCAAATTTCCACATAGGGCCCGAGAAAGCTGAAAAAAATAAAACAAATCCCTGACATGGCTTCCTAGCAGTCTGGTGCTCTTAGCATACAGAGGTGCAGCTCGGCCACAAGTGAGCACTTGAGTAGCTGACACCTAAATTAGAAACAATAAGCTAAGTAAAAATGCCTGCCACATTGTGGGTACCAATTTCCTAGAGCTCGGCAGTTAAATCAGATCCTGGATAAACACAGCTCCTGGTTAAATGCAGCTCTCAGTCAGACCCACAGGGCATAAAGCCTGCCTCTCACAGATCTGAGCAGGCTAGAACCAGCCACCAGTGCAAAGCCACAGGTGCACAATAAATCAGGTCCAGACTGAGAAAAACTGAAATTACAAAACAGTTTAAAAAGGTGTGTAGGCAACAAGAAAGAAAAGAAAATGGGTATAGTCATAGTAAAAACTAAATTTAAAAATAAAGATGGGAAATACACAGGGAATCCAGATCCTGTACAGTGTGGTGACTGTACATCTTTTGAGTGTTGATGAGTGAATGACAGCTGCTGAAAGGCACTGGATTGTAAAAGGAACTGCTGAAGTAAACTAGCCTAGGTACTGTAGGGATCCTAAACTTTAAAATGGAATTCAGAAAACATATTGAGTTGGGTTGGAGAGGTTATGTTTTTGTGTCCTCAGGAAACAAAAAGCTGTGGATTCCTTCAATAACAGAGATCAGGTTTGATCAGGGGAGACCTCCTCAAAGTCCTGGCTGCAAACAGGAAGAAATAAACTAGGAAAAACTACAAGAAAGGTGGCATACATGCTGATCCCTCTGCAATGAAAATGTTCTGAGACTGATAACAATGTTACAACTAGTTTCTCCAGGACTTGACCACAGTCTAATTTTCTCAGGGTTCCTCCTGGATGCCATTACCCCCAGACAACAGGAAGCAGTCTAGAGAACAGGACACTCACATTCAGTAGGGTGGGTGGTTTTTAGTCATTTGGTGGGTTATGGATGTTTGTCATCATTTAGGGGGTTGTAGAAATATAGGATAAAAAGATAACTATTAGGTAAAGATAAAATGACTACTATTAACCTCAAATATTTTACATTGGTATGGATTTTGATATATTGATACAAATTTAAAGTTATTTTTGTTATACTGTATGTATGTTTCTACTCTTTTGGGGGGTATTACGCTTATGCAGCTTATTTAAAAATGTGATGTATAATTAAGAAATGCAGGTTAGTAGTTAGTCATCTATAACAATCAAGCTTGTAGTCATGTTAGGTATGCTTTCAAGGTTAAACAGATGTATTTTATATAGATAGGTAATCTTCAAACACTTCAGAGGCCTACAGAATATAGCATTTATGATGTTTAATAATGCAACACTTTTCATGACAGCGAGACACTTCTGTGCTTGACAGTACCAATCTATTTCATAAAAGGACAGATGATGGGAGTCAAAGAACCTCCATACAGAGTTCGCTTTTATTGTGGCAAAGCTAGCCATTTTGGCAAGAAACTGCCTTTGCCTTAACTGACAACACTATACTGTACAAACTGGACAAGCAGGACACAAAGGAAAAAAGACTTCCGAACTTTGTCAAGATATGTGGGACAGTCCTTCAAAATCCTGGTTCACAGAAAAGTCTCTTGGATATTCTACGACTTTAAGGCAAAGACAGATGACCCAAAGTTGCAGAGGAACCTTGGGTGACTGTCCAGGCAATCAGCTGCTTCTGTCATTTCTGTAGTTTTGGAAGTTGCTTGTTCTGCTCTTCCTGTTTACTTAGGTAATATATCTTTCTCAGGGCTCTGATGTAGCTGAAGACAAGATAGTTATAGTATTTCTTGTTACCAAATTTAGAAAAGAAACTTACATAAGAGGTTAAATTTATAAGGCTGAGACATAAAAGTTTAAATTGTTTATCTAAGAAAATGTTTTTTTTTTTTTGTTTTTCTTTCTTTTTTTTTTTTTTTTTTTTTTTTTGGTTTTTCGAGACAGGGTTTCTCTGTGGTTTTTTTTGGAGCCTGTCCTGGAACTAGCTCTTGTAGACCAGGCTGGTCTCGAACTCACAGAGATCCGCCTGCCTCTGCCTCCCGAGTGCTGGGATTAAAGGCGTGCGCCACCACTGCCCGGCTAAGAAAATGTTTTGAGGTCTAAAAAGGTAATTTTGTGTTGGTAATACAAGTTAGGATAGATTACCTAACAGGTAAATTAGGTACATAAATTCACAACTTTGGACTCACCAAGAAAGGATAGATAGAATACTTTCTCTTGGCCAGGCAGTGGTGGCGCACGCCTTTAATCCCAGAACTTGGGAGGCAGAGGCAGGCAGATCTCTGTGAGTTTGAGGTCAGCCTGGTCTACAAGAGCTAGTTCCAGGACAGCTAGGGCTGTTACACAGAGAAACCCTGTCTTGAAAAACCAAAACCAAAACAAAACAAAACAAAAACCAAAAAAATAAAGAATATTTTCTCTGAATCTGCCAAATGCAAATGGACTGAATGACTACTATAAATGTAATTCTTCCTGTTTTTATTGTATATAGCTTTACTATGTTAGAGCTAAAACCTTTTTATTTAGATAAAAAGGAGGAAGCACCTGCCTAGAATCCCTAGTGAGGGGCTGGGGTGTGGCTCAGTGGTAGAGCCCCTGCTTAGAATCCCCCAGTGAGGGGCTGGGGTGTGGCTCAGTGGTAGAGCACCTGCCTAGAATCTCCCAGTGAGGGGCTGGGGTGTGGCTCAGTGGTAGAGCACCTGCCTAGTATATATAAAGCCCTGGTTCCAGTCCTACAAAACCAATGAGACAAATACAGGGGTAGGGGAGACAGGGAAGTTGCAGCAAGATAGTTGCCCAGACAGCACATTCTGGTAGTCACATCTATGCAGGCTAGGAGTGGGCGATTCCTCCTTCCTTTGTTTCTGGCATTCATGCCTCCGCAGAGCTGCACCTATCCTATCCAAACTGCCTAAGACCCTAGGCCAGCCTGAGGCATCTACATTCATAGTCCAGGTTTGGGAGATCATTAGTGCAGGTGACAGGTGGTGGATCACGGAGAAGCTGCATGTGAAGACAATGGTGACAAGCCCCACCCATGCCTAAAGTCAAGGGAACAACACAGCCCATGGTACCTCATGAGTGAATGCCACAGTAGGCTCTCTCTCTTGTCTCTTAGCTTCTTCCAGTTCTTGACACTTGTTGGTGAGAGCTTCAATTTCCTCTCTAAAGTACAAAGGGAAAAGATGGTCCTTAGTCGTCATCTGGTAGGGAAAGCTGTCACACAGTGGTCCAGGCAGTGCTGCATAGGGACAGGCTACAGGAATGGGCTCCTGGCAACTGGTGGTCACCATCAACGCCACTGCAGGGGCTCTCTAAATTGTCACCTGTGTTCTGAGAGCCTTCAAGGGCAGGGCTGAGGATACTAGGCCCAGCCTTATTCCTGAAATATCATGAGTTGGAAAGGGGTCTGTGGAAAAGACCTTGCCTAGCGTGCGGGAAGTCCTGGGCCCATCTCCAGTACTACACAAAAGAGCAAGGTTATTCTGGCATTTGGAAGGTGGAGGCAGAAAAATAAGTTCAAGCTCATTTTTGGCTATAATAAGTTCAAAGCCAGAGTTGGGTACATGAAAGCCTGTCACACACAAAGTCAGGGTGTCCCAGGGTGGGGACACACACTCTGTGATCCCAGCAAATGTGGTTTTGACAACTGAGTGGCTGAAGTCACAAAGTTGCACACTGAAGCCAGTCTGCACTACACAGTGAGATCCTGGGCCAAACAAAATTAAAAAACACAATCAAAACTCTACTTGATACTCAGTGTACTTACCTCAAAGCCTGCTCCTGCTGGCGCCTCTCCTTCTCGCCTTCCCGGGCTATCTCCAGCTCCTTCTCCAAGTCGATCTTGGCCTGCAGCAGCTTATTCATCTCCACGCTGAGACACAAGCAGATATTTCCATGGTCACTCGACCCAAGGCTAGCCCAGCTGAAGGATGCTTCCTGTACCCTGTCACCCCGCTTCCCTCCTTAGGCACTGAATCTAGACAGGTCCTTGGTCCTAAGGACAGGGCCAGAGCATCTCTGAGGGTGCTAACTGCGCCGCTGACGCCCCTGTAGAGGGACTGTCATAGGATGAGGTCAACATGAACAGAAGCAGATAAGATCCTACCCTGAAACAAGAGACCTCAACACGACAGAGGATAGTTAAGTGACACAGAGCCTTGCTCGGTGCAAGGTCTGAACCCAGGAAGGACATGATGACACCTAGCCCCGGGGCAGGTGCTTGCATCAAGGTATGGGTGACACCATGGCCATGTACTCAGCCCTGGTTAGATTCTGTTTAAAACTCAGACCTGCCACTTCTTGCCGGAGAACCTGCTTCTCCAGGTCCCCGGTAATCTCCACACTGATGTGGAGTGGGTAGCAGGGTGACCGTCACACAATAAGGGCTTTGTATGTGGTAGCTATTGTGTTACCTTGCAGTGTGAACTGCAGCTTCCACGCCTGTGTTAGTGCAGTAAGAAAACTTTAAAAAGATGTGTTTTACTTTATGCGCATCAATGTTTTATCTCATGTATGGGCACCATGTGCAATGTCAGAAGAGCGTGTCGGATTCCCTGGAACTGAAGTTATGGATAGTTATGAGCTGCAGTGTGGGTACTGGGAATTGAACCTGTGTCCTCTCTGCCAGAGCAACAAGTGTTCTAAACCACTGAGTCATTTCCTTGGTCCCCCTGTGTTAATCATTTCACAATGATTAACAATTAGACCATCTGTGGCTATGCAGAGTTGGAATGTTACAGGTCCCAAAGCAAAGCTATCTGGAAGCCATTAGTTCTAACAGCCACATATGTCCATCTCTGTGTCTGACCTCACATCCATGGGACTTTTCCTTTCAGAAGGTATAAGCAGACCTCTGGCTCCCACCAACTCAAAGACTAAGAATGTCCCCAGACTGGGTGGTGGCGGCGGCACACAATATTAATCCCAGCACTAGTGAGGCAGAGGCAGGTGGATCTCTGGGAATTTGAGACCAACCTGGTCCACAAAACATGAGTTCCAGGACAGTTAAGGCTGTTACACAGAAAAAGAAATCTGTGTCTCAAAAACCAATCAACCAACCAACCAACCAACAAACAAACAAAAAGAATGTCCCGAGCTGGGCGGTGGTGGCGCACGACTTTCAGGAGGCAGAGGCAGGCGGATCTCTGTGAGTTCGAGACCAGCCTGGTCTACAAGAGCTAGTTCCAGGACAGGCTCCAAGACCACAGAGAAACCCTGTCTCGAAAAACCAAAAAGAATGTCCCTAGACAGCATCTTCAGCTGTTGCTGAGATTCCCCGGGCTACGCTGTACCCTGTCTTCCTGTGGTGTCTCTAGACAGCACCTGCAGCTGTAGTGGAGCTCTCCCGGCTCCGCTGTACCCTGCTACCTGTAGTTTTCACCAGTGTATTCTAAATCACCTCAACTTAGGGCTTTCTTTGTTCTGGTACTTTAAAAACTTCATGAAACTGTCCCATAATGGAACACGGTATTTAAGGTAACTATAGTAACTCATATCTGGCTATAGAATAAACTGCTAACTCCTTTGGGGAGAGAACTGTGTGTTTTTTTTTTTATTGTTTTGTTTTGCATTGATGAGAGCTTGACAGAAAATGCAGAAGTTACTTCAAAATGACCAATGTCATTTAAATTATTTTTATATATAGTGTGTCATGCATGCAGACTTGCACATGTACCATGATGCACATGTGGAGGTCAGGGGAAAACTTGGGGGAGCTGGTGCTGGCCTCCCACCATGTGGGTCCCAGGATCTAATTCAGGCCATCAGACTTGGTGGCAATTTCCCTTATCTGCTCTCAGGCCCACCATCATGACTACAAAGGTATCCATGAAATGCTACTTCTTACAAGGAACCTTCCGCCAACTTCCATCAATGCCTAGGAAACTAGGCCACAAGGCAGCTGGGGCCCTTGCTCTGTACATGGGGCACAACCGGCAGGGTTTCACAGCCCTCAACTTTTACATTTTCTGCCTTCTCACAGTGCCATGGTTTTAGGGCTCGAATTTAAGCTGGCCCACAAGCTAGGCAAGTTCAATACCACGGCTACATCTCACATGCGAGGCAAGATCTGTACCCCAGTTCTGTACCCCAGAGTTACATCCCCAGACCTTGGACTTTTGAGCTTCACTATGTAGCCAGACTTATTATCAAACTTGAGATCCTCCTGCCTCAGCCTCCAAGTGTTGGAATTACAGGTGCATGCCACACCTGGCTTCCCAGAGGGTCGGGTCTTGGGGTCCTCTATCCTAACCTCTCCAGCTGAATGGGGCTTCGAAAGCTGCAATCCCAACTAGCTCCTAGGTGGGTGGAATCTGAGGCCCTTGCATACCCAACAGCTCCCAGGCAGTCAGGGCTAAGGCCCTCAATCCAGTTAGCTCCCGAGTGGGACCACAAAGTTAGCATCCCTAGCCAGCTCATGGGTGGGTAGAAGCTGAGGCCCTGTACATCCCACCAGCACTCAAATTAATGGGACTTAAGGTGGGCAGGGCTTGAAACCCTAACCTCTCCATCAGGCCCTGGGCAAGCAGGGAAGGGTGTGGGGGGCAGGGACAAGGTCTGCATTCGCAACCAGCATTCATGTGAGTGGGGCCTGAGGTTTGTACCTGGCCCAAGGACTTCCAAGGAGGGTGGTGGGTAGGCCTTGCTTCCCATACCAGCTTTCCAGGTGGGTGGGGCCTGAGACCCTTCATCTCCAAAAGCTTTCAGGGTGGGCAGGGCTGATGGCCTTGGTCACAGTTTTATGACAGCAATTTAACTAAGACACAGAGGCTGGCTTTGAACTGGTGATCTTCTTGCCTACACCCCTCCAAGTTCTGAGACTGCAGGCAAGCGCTGCCCTCCCCGTGATATGGGTGTTCAGGGCTATGAAACAGGGATGCACTAACTCCTACAGGCCAGGCACTTCAGGCCTCCAAGTCAGCCACTTACTCTTTCTCCGCCAGCTGTGCCTGCAGTGCGCTCCGCTCCCCCTTCAGGATCTTCATGGCTCCTTGGAGATGCTCCTCATCCTCGGATGGATCCCCTTTGGGCTGGTCCTCTTTGGACTGGTCCCCTTTCGGCTGCTTTTGCACTGAGATGTTGGATGAGGAGTGGACCAGGGGATTCGGCTTGACCAGCTCTGAAGTAGAGAGCTTTGGGTTTTCTGAGGAGCTCACCTTCTGGGGGCAATGAAGGCATCTGTTAACTTTACCTCTGTGAGACTCAGGGGTGGCCAATCTCCAGTGTGTGGGAGACGCTTTGCTGTGGGGACCGAGTCAGCAGGTTCCCTTCCCATAGTGCTGGCTAGTCCCAGAGGCAGGACATGGGTCAGAGCTACCAACACCATATATGATGAAAGCCACCAAGGAGGGAGGCAGGCAAGGAGGATGCACACATCGGAATTCGGGTATCTCCAACCCCTGTGCTTGCTGTTCAACCAGTCCAGTTCTGTCTGAAAGTGCCGCCTGTTTCCCCAGGCCTTTGCTATTGGGTCTCTGGATAAACCTGGATTTCCCAGCATGCTTTACATATTAAGTATTTCCACAACACAGAAACTTCTTTCCCTTTCTGCTCTGTCTACTTTTCTATGTTCTAATTTGTCAAGACCTGACTATATTTAAAATATTCTCCCTCGGGCCTTGTACAGCTTTGTCAAACAACTGGGAAACTCTGGTTCAGAACTTTTTCTTTCAACACTGGGGATGCAACCCATGCTGGGAAAGTCCTGTGCCACCAAGTCAGGCACAGATTCTAGGCAGGTGCTCTATGTCTGAGCCACACCCCCAGTCATTCATTGTGGAGTCCAGGCAGGCGCTCTACCACTGTGCCATGGCCCCTGCCCTTGCCTAGAGTCTAGGAGGCACCGTGTCACTAAATTATGTCCCTGGCATTCTATCTCAAGATCCTAACAGGATGGACAGGTTTCCCAGAGCCAGACTCCTCTATGGGGCCAGTGTGGGGGTGGGGGAAGAGGAACAGCAGCTCATGTCTGCTGGCAGAAGTGTAAATGAAGAGACTGCTGAGGATTCGAGTATTATAAAGACGTTTGGGACTTGCAGATGTGTGCACCAGGCTAGACCACAGGCAGGCACTTTGTGGTCGTACACATCCACCGGTGGCTACAGGATGCCTAGTGATGGGTTCTTGGGCTGGCCCTCCATAAAATGAGGGCTGTGTCAAGCCTTGCCCAGACCTGCAAGTACGAATGTCTTTCCTGTGCACTTGGTAAGGCCTGCTAAGCAACCCTACGTGCGTGTGGAGTGGCTCATCTCACTCTGGGACTCTGTATCCCTACTAACCCAGACAGTGGCTGCTCCTTGGCAGGTAGGCCCCATGAGACATTAGACCTGCACTTACCTTTTCCAACTCTGCGATGCGTCTCAGCAGCCGGGGCTTGCTCCAGTCTACATAACCTAAGGAGGGCAACGGGGTTTACAAGACAGTGCCCATGGGCCCTGTAGCAGGGCCTCTCTTCTGAGACATGGACTCAGTGCTTCCCACTGCACGGACTGACAGCCAAGCAACAGACCCACTGGGCAGGTGCTTGTCACCCAAGGGCTGGCTTCAAACTTACTATATAATAATGGAGGACAACCAGTGATCTTTCTGCCTCCATCTCCTGTGTGCTGAGATGCACGCTTTATCATGCCTAGTTTATGTGTTGATGGGGATCGAACTCAGGGCTCCAAGGACTCTAGGCAAGGACTCTCCCAACTGAGTTGATTTGTCACTCTGCTAAACTCCAGATGCTGGTCTCACTCTTCACCTGAGACACTCAAAGCTCGCTGTCACACTCTGGCCACTGCTGACCATGCACTACTAACTGCCCCTCATTACCTAACCTTCTAAATGTTCCAGGCTTAAGACTTGACTTTGCTCTTCTCCGGCACCCATCTTGCTGGGTGCCATCACTTGGTTCTGTCTGTCTGCCAGGGACCTGCAGCACGCCCAGTTCTCCAGCATGGTGGGCACCTGTCTCAGCTTCACTGCTCAGAAAAAAAGCCCTGGGGCCTACGGCAGGAAGAGCCTCTCAGCGGGAGACCCCTCCCCTAGTCTATATTAGACCTGGGTTCTATCCCCAGTACTGCAAAGCAAAGCAAAGCAAAAGCCCCAGTGTCTTGCAGGCCAGGAGATCCAGAGAGATCTCTCCCTATATCTCCGCAGCCCCACGGGCTCAGGCTCCTTGGACTCTCCCTGAACCATAGTGGCACCCGTCCTACCGACAAGTCCTTTTGCACAGGTAAGGGGACATGTCTGATTGGAGGCTTGTGACCAAGTTCTCCATGTTTGAATGGGGCCCGCTTCCTATCTTTCACCATAGAACAAGACATGACCTGTCTCCTTGTGTCTCCCTCTGTGAGTGGCCTGCCGGCAGATACCCTTTATTTTGGAGACAGTGGGGGAATTGCTGAGCATGCGGTCCAGGTCCTCCTTCAGGCTCTGGTTCTCCTCTGTCAGCTCCTGCACACTCCGGGTCAAGTTTAGCAGGGCACTGCTCATCTTCTTCTGCCTCTTCATACCCAGCTTCTTCTCCACTATGGGCCTGGGGATAAGCAAGGGACAAGCTGAGGGCCGCACTTCTAGACTGGGAAACATCTCAAACAGGAACACGGACGGCTTCTTACCAGGTTCTGAGGTCAGAGTGCCTTATACACAAGAACATTAACAATCTGACCGGAAACCAGCTCTGATTCCCCAATTAGGGAAATGTAACTTCAGCTGATTATTTATTTTTTAAATACAGGAATGCCAGGCAAGGGCTCTACCAACTGTTCTGTACCCAGTGCCTTCCATTGTTAAGACTGGGTCTCCATACGTATTCCAGGTTGTCCTGGAACTCAGGATTCTCCTTCCTCCACCTCCTGAGCATTGCCATGATGAGGGTATGTTACCAGACTCACCTCTATTTTATTTCTTGTACTTTGTGCATGTGTATAATGTGGCCATGGAGTAGGTTGGGGACGTAGCTCAGTTGGGGGAATGCTTACCTAGCATGTAGGAGACCCTAGTTTCCTTTCTCAGGACCACCATGTGTTTATTTAAATATATACATAGCTACATATATACATGAGTGGTCCTATAGCAAGGTGCCGAGCGCCCCCTAGTGTTCACTTGGCTTTTGGTCTCTGGTTCTGTATTAGAAAGTCACTATTATAGTATAGTGAATCAATACTATATATTACATGCATGTCTTTAAAGACATGTAATATAACAGGACAGACTCCACCTGTCTTTGTGTGTGTGCACGTATGCGTGTGGCGTATGTACATGTGCGCATGGGTACCATGGCCGGAGGATGGTGTTGGGTGTCCTACTCTATTGCTCCCCACCTTTTCCCTTGAGACGGGGCCTCCCACTCAGCCTGGAGCTAAGCTGGCAACCAGCGAGTCTTATGGACTGGATCTTTCCTCTGTGTAATCCCCTGACCTCCTAGACTCTCCGTCCTGCCAGCACTGAGGTTACAGAGAGGCAGACATGTCTGGCTTTGTTTTGCACAACAGACTAGAGCTTCAACCAGGGAGCTACCTTCTCAGCCCTATATGGCTCTTTAAGAGAATATCTTCCAGCTGCTGTCTGGAGCGACTGGGGACAAAGGAGAAAAAGGATAGCCACACCTGGTGCCGGCAGTTTACACAGAAGCCTGTGGTATGGGCAGATCTGTTTTACATATACATCATACATCCGTATCTATATCAATATAGCTATATATCTGCTTGCAGGTGCCTATGGAGGCCACCAGAGGCATCAGATCCCCCAGAGTTGGAGTTCCAGGCATTAGAGGCTGCTTGGTGTGGGTGCTACAATTGTTGGCATTTTGGCATCATATCGTTTACAAAAGATAGGTACAACCTACACAGTAAAGAGACCTTAACTTGTCGGGCAGTGGTGGCGCACGCCTTTAATCCCAGCATTTGGGAAGCAGAGGCAGGCGAATCTCAGTGAATTTGAGGCCAGCCTGATCTACCAAATGAATTCCAGAACAGTCAGGGCTATTACACAGAGACACCGTGTCTCAAAAAACAAAACAAAACAAAAACAAAAAAACAAAAACAAAAAAAGAGAGACCTTAACTTGGAAAAGCTTTAACATCAAAAACAAAACAACAAAACAAAAAAGTTTCAAACAAGTAAGGTGGAGATTGCTCTGAAGACCAGCGCTCTCCAGTTCTAGGCTGGAAGCGGCCATGGGACTTCTACAGTTCCCTCTTGGAGCATGGGCCTGGGTGACTGTCAGCAGGTGGTAAGAACAAAAGAGGCTGTGACAAGGCCAACAGATATGCATCAATGCGACTATCAGGAATAAGCGATGAGGGCTGGGTGAAGGACTCAGTGGTAGAGCACCTGCTATACAACCATGAGGACTGGAGTACCCGAGTTAAAAAGCCAGGCAACACTGGGAGACACCAACAGGAGGATACCCGGGCTCCAGGTTCCCTGGGACACCCTGCTTCAGAAAACAGGGTGGAGACACCTGACGCTGACTGGTGGTCTCCATATGTGCACACATGTTCATATACACATGAATATGTACACATGGATGCAACACACACAGTAAGCCTTGCACAGCTGCCAAGAAAAGGGAGAGCGAGCCAGTGGCAGGTAAGGACCACCCGGCTTTCAGAGTGGCCTCGACAGTACAAAGACACACGTATGATCATACCTCTTTCCTGTGGCGTCAGTACTCGCTAGGAGGGTCTGCAGACGATGGATCTGTGAGGGTGAAAAGGGAAGGTGTCAGAAACACAACAGAAGAGGGGGACAGCTTTCCCGAATCTGGCTTTATTCTGAGAAAACTATGCTGTGGTGACTTCTGCATGTCCTCTGAGCCCGAGTGCGGGCAGAGCTGCAGGTTTCAGAGCATCAGGCTCCTCCCTCTCCACAGGCTTCAGGGTGCACACACCTCCTCATAGTATGTCTCCATGGCGATGCGCATCTCCTCCAGGTTGGTGGTCTTCATGTCCGTCTGCAGTTTGCTGGAAACCCAAGTTCAGAGTTAACATGGTGGGTCTAGCACCCAGAAGACAGGCAGAGGAGGAGGCACTCCCGGAAGTCAGAGAGGAGATGGCAATAGGAAAGAGAAGCCCAACATTGGCCTTAACCATGTGAATCCACAATTCTGGAACAACCACACCAGCCAAGTGTCCTCCTGGGTGGCACCGGCCACTTCCCCCATGAGCCCACAGACCATCGGCAGATGGTCTTCTCTAAGAAAGGCTACCCTGCAAACATTGGGGTCACAGTACCAAGGGACCCTGCATCACCTTCAGAGCAGAACAGCCCACTTTATAAAGAGGAATCAGAGTCAGGTATAGTGACACATGCATGTTGTCCCAGCATTCCACAGGGAGGCGGGTACAGGAGGACCATGACCTCCAGCTCAGCCTGGGCTACATAGCATGATGCGGTCTCAAAGCAAGACAGAAGGAAAAATAAAAACAAATCCTTTGCTCCCCGCCACCACCAGCACTGTCACCTTGCCCTTAATATGCTACACGCTTCAGAAGGAAGGCATAGGAGGAAGCAGAGCTCAGGACACAAAACAGGAAATCAGCACACACCCAGACTCACACGGACAAATTTCATTGAGAAACAAGTGAGGGCCAGAAATGCCGTAGGAATTGGAACACAGGTGCGGATAGGTTGCTGCAATTTTCTGAAAATGGACTTAACCACATTTAAGATCATCTCTTATGCTTAGTGAGACCAGAAAGAAGCAGGGAGGACCAGGGCGGGGGGAAAAGGGGGAGGGAGAAGGTGGGTGCAGCACAGTGTCTGCTGAGAGGAATCCAGACCCAGAATGTTCACGCTGGACATCAGAGGTGATCGTCATTTATACAGGGGTGGGGCCTGGGGAGTAAGAAGTTGAAGAGAAATGCTGTTTCCTACGAAATTTAGAGGGAATCTGAATTAAAGAGAAAGCTAAGCCTAAATGTGTAGTCCAGTCATACAGGTTCCTCAGGACCCAAGACAGAAGGCTTGAGATTCAAGGCCTTATGGCCTGATCAATACAAGGAGGTTTTGTCTCAAAATTAAAAGTGAAAACAGGACTGGGGTGTGGCTCAGTTGTAGAGCACCTACCTAGAATCCCCCAGTGAGCGGCTGGGGTATGGCTCAGTTGTAGAACACCTGCCTAGAATCTCCCAGTGAGGGGCTGGGGTGTGGCTCAGTGGTAGAGCACCTGCCTAGTGGTAGAATGCTTGTTCCTACCCTGGCGTACAGGAAAGGGAGAATAGATAGCATTTCTCATAGTTTTAGGTTGGAACAAAGATGTGGCAAGAAGGCAGAACAGACTCAGAATGGAAAGGGTAGATGGAAGAGAGGTCAGTCTTTGCTGGCCCAGTGCAGCACCCAACAGACGCTGGGGCCCTCCCACCACCAGCTCCCCTCAGGTCCTACTTGATAGTGTTGTCCTTTTCCTTGCACTGTTGCTCCAGCCTGAAGATCCTTTGCTTGAGCCCGGTGATGACCTGCCAGCAGAGGGCCACCACCTCAGCACAGTCACCCACCAGGGCTCCGCCTGCTGGGTCCTCTCCTAAGAGAGCCTATGGATGCTGAGCTTCTTTCTATCAGGGTTCTTGCACATCCATCCCTCCTTCCTTAGTGCGCTCCTAGTGATGACTAAGGGCCTTCAATAGGCTCCCCCACTGAGAAGCGCTGAGGAAGGGACATGGAGAGCAAGAGGCAGGGCCAGAGGGCAGCAGCCAGCCCTCGGGGTCCCATGGCAGCTGTTCTAGGGACCACACTGCATTCAAGGAGATGACTACATGTGCAGTCAGTTGCTTAATAACAAAGAAGTCACCAGAACCTGGATGCTGCCCTGCGCCTAGGACCCACTGGGACCCAGCAAGTCCTTGCCCAAGGTCAAGGGGCTGCTGGGCAGGCTTAGCCTCCTTCTCCTTAATGTCTCCTTGGGGAGGTATTTCCATTACAACCTAAACAACTTTGTTTTTCAAGAGTCAGGGTCTCCCTGTGTGGCCCAGGCTGGTGTTTGTCTTCTGATCCTCTTGACTCAGCTTCCTGAGTGCTGAATTACAAGCTTGGGCTTCTAGACTGGTTTACAATTGCTACTTTGAATCAACTTCAGACTTACAGACAACACACACACACACACACACACACACACACACACACACGGCATTGGAACAATAAAAATTCAGGGCTTGGGGAGATGGCTCAGTGGTTAAGAACAGTGGCTGCTCTTCTAAAGGATCCGGGTTCAATTCCCATCAAGCATATGATGGCTCACAGCCATCTGTAACTCTAATTCCAGGGAACATGATGCCCTCCCCTCCTTCTGACCTTGGAGGGCACCAGACATGCATATGGCACATAGACATACGTGCAGATAAAATACCCACATACATAAAATTAAAAAAAAAAACAGGGTTCTCTCTATGGAAATATCTGTTCATTCATTAATGAGTTCTATATCTTCCTCCAATGTCCTAGGGTAGACATTTCAATTAATACTACATTATTACATATATACTTTCCTTTTTTTCCTTTCTCAGAGGTTTCATGTAGCCCAGATTGCCTTTAAAATCCTTCTTTCCTCCACGACAATCTGGACTTTTGATCCTCCTGCCTCCACTTCTCCCATGCTTGAATTTTACAGTATTCTTTAAAAAGGTTAACACTGGGGCCTGGTAAGATGGGTAAAGGGACTTGGCACCAAGACTGAAGACCTGAGTTGGATCCCTGGAACCCACATGGTGGAAGGAGAGAACTGATTCCCACAAACTGTCCTCTGACCTCCACATACACCCTGGTATGTGAGTACCCCTCTCAATAGATAAACATAAAAATACTTTTTTAATTAACAAAAAATATTGTGAGGTTTCTATGAACCACTTTGGATGGCTCTGCAAACTGCCATTCTGGGCAGCTACTGTCATACCTGACAGGTGGTCAGGAGGGTGAGCCTGTCAAGAGCAGTATGACAGACAGAGCAGGCGCACTGCACGGGTCCCAGTATGCAGGCCTCGCCAGCGCTAGCACTTGGTGCGGAGGTTCTGAGTACTCCTGTTTTTATCTCGGCCCTGCCCAATCTGGTTTGCACCATCCTTGCTAATTTTGTTGCTTTATGGTGTAAGGTTTTACTTGGAGTAACTTAAAATCATTTCTTTCCTCCAGTACATAGTGCTGGTGGGAAGAGAAGCTAAGTCGAATGCAACCACCATCCCTGCCTTCCCTGAGCCTGGGAGATCAGGGAGAGTCAGATTTGGGTAAACCTCTGAACCTCGTTTTCTTGCTTTTAAAATGAGGGCTGGGGGCCAGGGAGATGGCTCAGTAGCTCAAGTGCTTGCTGTACAAACATGAGAAACTGAATTTGTAAAAAGCCATTGTCTTATCAGATGGTGGTGGCTCACACCTTTAATCCCAGCACTTGGGAGGCAGAGAAAGGCAAATCTCTTGTGAGCTGGAGGCCAGCCTGGTCTACAGAGTGAGTTCCAGGACAGGCTCCAAAGCTACAGAGAAACCCTGTCTCAAAAAACAAAACTAAACAAAACAAAAAAGCCATTGTTTCATTGTATGCCTGTAACCTCGGCACTGGGAAGGTGGAGACAGGAGCACATAGGTCACACACGCGCACGCGTGCGCACACACACACACACACACACACACACCCCACACGCAATCATACACAAGCACACATCCGTGCTGACTGCACAGTCACAACTTTGGGATTTGTTGTTTTCTTTTTTTTTTTTTTTTGTTTTTTTTTTTTTTTTTTTTCGAGACAGGGTTTCTCTGTGGCTTTGGAGCCTGTCCTGGAACTAGCTCTGTAGACCAGGCTGGTCTCGAACTCACAGAGATCTGCCTGCCTCTGCCTCCCGAGTGCTGGGATTAAAGGCGAGGGATTTGTTGTTTTCTAAAGGACATTTTCTTGCAGTGCAGGGGGCACACGCCTTTAATCCCAGCACTCAGGAGGCAGAGGCAGGTGGATCTCTGAGTTCTAGGCAAGCCTGGTCTACAGAATGAGTTCCAGCACAGCCAGGACCACACAGAAAAATCCTGTCTTGAAAACAACAACAAAAACAATAACAAAGACATTTTCTTGAGCTAGCAGAGTGCCCCTGAGGTCGCAGCACAAGAGAGGCTGAGGCTGGAGATTACTTGAAATCAGGAGGCCCAAGTCAGCCTGGGTAACATAACAAGACCCTGTCTAAATAAAAGAAATAGTTTTCTTGTGGCCATATACTGACTTTGAGTCCTAAAGACAGAACACCTTTAATCATTTATGCTAAATGTGTATTTCTATATGATATAAATATATACACAGACTATGCATGTATACATATACAGCATATGTATATATACATGCATATGTGTATGTGATGGACATGACGTACATGAAAACTATTTTCAGGCACTTAAATATTTTTATTGCCTTTATTAATATTGGGGGTTGGGTGGGGAGTGTGTGCCACGATCTCATGTGGAGGTCAGAGGACAACTTTTAGGAGCTAAAGTCTCCTTCCTTGTGCGTTGCTAGGACAAGACTCAGGTCATTCATTGGGTTAGTGGCAAGTGCCTCAACGCCAGTCTTGCTGGTCCTATCTCACAGATCTTGCCTCTGGAGTATCTTTATTCCTGAGCTATTCTGCATACTCCTGACAGGGAAAACTGTAGTAACCTAAGTCCCTGCTTTGCGACAATCTTTCCAGTTTCTCTTTAGTCTTAGGGCTTTGCTATACTTTTCTTTACGACCCCAAGCCCATTAGCCTACTGCTGTCTCACTCCTTGAACCTTGACTCATGGGGACAATGACATATTCCATACCCACCCAACCCCCACCCGTTTTAAGTATCTTTTTTTTTAAGATTTATTTATTTATTATGTACACAACATTCTGCCTCGATGTATGCCCACATGCCAGAGGAGGGTGCCAGATCTCATTACACATGGTTGTGAGCCACCATGTGGTTGCTGGGAATTGAACTCAGAACCTCTGGAAGAGCAGCCAGTGCTCTTAACCACTGAGCCATCTCTCCAGCCCCCCCCCCCCCATCCGTTTTAAAACAGAAATTGTGGTTTGGATGTAATTCCCAAGTTGTATTCTGAGACTCTGATTTTTTTTGTTTTGTTATTTTTTTTTTTTTTTGCTTTGTTTGTTTGTTAGTATTCTGAGACAGAGTCTCACGTAGCCCAGGCTGGCCTCTATGGAGCAGAGGCTGGTCTTGAACTCCCAAGTGCCTTCTTATTATTTAGTTATTAAACTTGTGTTCCCTCCCTGGCCCTTTTCTGCAGCCAGGCTCCCACACTCTCGCCCGAAGCCTCTGTGACTGTGTGGCATTTGTTCCACCCTTTTCAGCCTCTGCAAAGCCTGCTGCCCTCTGACATCCCTCAGAGTACTGTCCTGTGATCTTCTACAAACAACAGTTCTAGAAGGTTCTGAGGCCATGCCCTTCCTGCAGTTCCACTAGGACCTCAGCGGAAAGCTCTCCTTGGAGCAGGAGGCTCTACTTACCCAACCAGTGTCAGGCCTTTTCTCGGCCAGGGTTCGCACGAAGTCTGGGCCCTGTGGGAGGCAGATGGAGACATCAAGCCCACGGTGGCGCTTCCTCCTCTCTGCTTCCCACGGCAGCACTGGCATCACTAGCCAGCAGGACGGTTCTGTGGGCCCTGGGACTTACTCGACCTGGATCCAAGAGCTGTTCTATCTGTCGATCCTTTCTGTTGTTCTCCTCTTCCAAGCGCCGAAGCTTTGTTCTCATCAGATCCACATCGCTTTTCTGCATATGTAAGGACTGGAGAAGAAAAGGAGGGCGGGCTGGCAAGATGGTTCTCTGGTAAAGGGGCTTGCCACCAAGCCTGATGTCCTGAGTTCAATCCCCAGGACAGGCACACACATACTTGCATGCACGCAGGCATGCATGCACACAATGGAAAGAGCCATCTTCCCCAAGGTGTTCTCTCGCCTTTATGCACACACAAAATAAATAAATGTAAAACCAAAACTCAACCAACAATCCAAAAACAAACCAGAGGAGAACCACATTAATACAAGGTATGTATAAGAGAGAGAATATCCTCCCTCTCTCTCTCTCTCTCTCTCTCTCTCTCTCTCTCTCTCTCTCTCGTTCCTCAACCCAGGAAGCCTAGACCTGGCAGTAATTCTTCTGTCTCAGTTTCCTAATTACTGGGATTAGTCACACTTGGCTTTGAAAGATTTTTAAAGCCCTGGGGGTCATGGGCTCAGCAATTAAGAGCAGGGCCTGCTCTTCCAGAGGTCTGGAATTCAATCAGTCCCCACATGGGGGCGCACAACACACAACCATCAGGTCCACAGAATCCAGGGGATCTGATGCCCTCTTCTGGTCTGCAGGTGTACATGAAAACAAGACATTGATAAAAAGAAAATAAACAAATCTTTTAAAAAAAATTTTTTAAAACCTGGGAGGTGGTGGTGCACGCCTTTCATCCCAGCACTCAGGGGGCAGATGCAGGCCGATATATGAGTTTGAGGCCAGCTCTGGTCTACAGAGCTAGTTCCAGGGTAGCCAGAGCTACACAGAGAGACTCTGTCTAGAAACATGCTCCCTACCTAATTCCCCGGTGTCATGCAGTGGGGCAATCGGGCAGCAAGGGGTGTGAGAGTAATCCCAACACTGAGGGCGTAGGAGAAGCCAGAGCACCGGCCTCCTTTCCCATCACAGTGCCGAGGGCAGCCACTGACAAAGACTTTCAAGCCCATGAATGTTGGCCCTGGAAAGTCCCAAAGCCCTGCACTTGCTTCCATCTGTCATAGCACAGTCTGATGCTCCTTAGCAATACTAGCACAGGATTTAGCAGTCAAGAACACACACTGCTCTAGCAGAGAACCTGAGCTGAGTGCCCAGCACCCTCAGTGAGTTATTCAAAATTGCCTATTACTCTCACTCTGGTGGATTCAATGCCCTCTTACAGCCTGCAAAGGCATCCGTACGCACATGCACACAGAAGCCCACAACCCCCTAACACACACCCATCATTTAAAAAAAAAGTAATAATGAAGGAACACTAGCCCTCAGCTGTGCCTGGAGAGAGATGCTCCCAACATCCCCCTGTGGATGGGTTTTCTTATCAAGCTTTGGCAGGTCAAAGGGGAAAAAGATCCTGTAGTCAACTCTTATTTAATTTTATTTTTTGAGGTTCTGAACTTGAACTCAGTGGGCACTCTACTGTTAAGCCAAGCCCCCAAACCCTTCACTGATAGCAGTCTAGGCAAGTGTCCAACCACTGAGCCACACCCAAGCCCTTCACTGGGGGATTCTAGGCAGGAGCTCTACCACTGAGTCACACCCTGAGGCCCTCACTGGGGGATTCTAGGCAGGAGCTCTACCACTGAGCCACACCCTGAGGCCCTTATCATGGAATTGATTCTATACTGCACTCTGCTGTTCCATGATGGAACATTGCACCATGTACATTCTAGAAAGTACTCTACTATTATGTCTCCAACTCCCTCAGGCAGATCTCCAAAAACTTACAATGATGAGTTTGAATAAAGTCAGGTCATTTTCCCTGAGGCCTATTCCTAGCCCAAATATGGCTCTCACTGTTACAAGGTTGGGAGCTGTCTATAAAAAAAAGAGTCTCCCAGGCAGAACAGGAACCCCTCTACCCTGCCACCAATGGCAGCTCGGCCTCAGCTGGGAATGTCCACAGAAGGGACAGCAAGTCCTTTTCAGGGGATCCTTTAGCTACTGCACAGGTGCCATGTTCGCATTTTGGAGACAGGGTATCATGCATCCCTGGTTACCCTTGAATTTACTACGTTGCCCAGCTGGCTTTGCATGCCTTACTCTCCTGCCTCCTCAGTGCTGGGATGACCGCCATGCACTACCATGCCTGGCAAGCCCACTGCCTCTTCTGCAGTTGGTGGCCAGGCCTTTCACTCAGCCAGGATGGCCGGCCAGCTTCTACGGTACGGTGCCAGGGCATGGACTCCTTGTGGCTGGCACTTATTTCTCAGCAGGACACTGACTTTTAGTCAGGGAGGGCTATCACTGTCAATCATAGAGGAGCAGAACAAACCCTACCTTCTTCAACTCGATGATCTCATCATACATGTCCTCTTTCTCTCTGTAGACAGAAGTTCCAGAGACATGACCTGTAGGAAGACACACACCTCTTAGGACATTGTGGGACAGTAGAAAGGACCCCTGGTTATGCCTGAAGGGAAACCTGAAAGTTAATAAAACTGTACTTGTTTGCTTGCTAAGATAGAAGGGTCCCACTGGTTAGCCCAGATGGCCTGGAGTTCAAGATGCTCCTGCCTCAACCTTCTCAGTGCTGGAGAGACAAGGGAGTGTCCTCCAGCCTGGCTGACGGAGTGTGTGAGTGTGTGTGTGTGTGTGTGTTGTGAGCCTCTGTTCATGCAGAGACCAGACATGGGCAGTACTGTTCTCTGGCTCTCTGTCTTATTCCCTTGAGACAGCATCTCTCACCAACCCTGTGGTAGGCTGGGAGGCAGCAAGCCCTGGTGGTCTCCATCTCTGCCCGCCACAGTGCTGGGTTACCGGGCTCACAGCTGGCTCTTTGCATGGGTGCTGAGATCTGAGCTCAGTCTGCATAGCAAATGTTCTTATCCATTGAGCCATCTCTCCACTTATGGAGGTTTTAATGACATTTAACTGGTTATAAATTCAAAATAAGCCTAAACTGTTATCCTAATAAGTAGAGTTGGTTCACAGGGACATGGAGCCGGCCATCGCCATGTTGGAGAGCTATTCCTCTCTACTAAGGCCCCCATGAGAGAGAGGCCACCAGGCCCCATGGGCAAACACTAGTAAGGAACAAACAAGGAATCAGCACGGTGCCTGGGAGGTAGCAGCACTTGTTGCCATGCCTGAAGACCGGACTTCCATTCCAAGGCCTCCCATGGTGGCAGGAGGGAAATGACCTCACAAGTTGTCCTCTGACCTCCACATGCCTGCCACAGCACATACGCAGCCCACCCAGACGTAAGGAATTTATATGTATTTAAGGAGGGTGACATGATGGCTCGGCTATGAAACTCTCTTCAGGAATCATCATCTCTTGGAACATTCTAGAATGGCCTACTGATGGAGCTGGTGCATAAAGCCAAACAAAATCTCACCCCTCAATTGATAGAGGCTTTCCTTTCTGCTCTCCTGGCCTTGTCCCTGGGAGCATGCTCACCATGGCTGCCAGAACGCCGGAGGTCTGCCCTCTTCGCTCTTAAGGCTTCTGTCAGGTGGTCGGGCGTGCAGCTGGGGGGGTGGGTCCATGCGTGCTCCGAGGTAAGCGTGGAGCTCAGGGGTTGGGTCACACTTCCTGGTTTGAATGTGCATGGGTTTAACAGGGCAGGTATAAACAGAGTCTGCGAAGCTCAACCTCTCATCAAGCTCCAGGGGTGGAGGAAGCCAGGAGGCAGGGTGAACTGGTAAATGCCGAACAAGCAGCTCGCGGAGGTCAGCCCAGGGAGCCTGGGGGTGTCACATGTGCCCATTCCCCTGGTGTAAGACACTTCCGGTTTCCAGGGTGACAAAGACCAGCTCACAGAAACCGTAACAGTCGTCTCCGGCAAGCTGGCAGGGACTGGCTCCACGACACCTCTGCCACAGGGCAGTGCTGAGATAACCTCCAACAAAAGGGGCTGGAATGTCCTCAGGTGGGACTGGGAAAGCCACACCCGCCAGTGACATGTCAATGTCTTTGAGAAGATCCAAGGCAGGCTCACCGAAACCACATGCCTCATACATGCTAATCATTCTCGGTTTCCCACACCGGATCTCTAGCCAGAGCATCCTCTACAGGAGTCACGTACCATGTTTTGAGGTTCCCAGCCACAGCTTTTGTGGGGTCAAGGACATTCTGCTGCTCAGAGGCATGCTCCCTCCTGTCTTCAGAGACCGCCAGGATGTCACTTTTCTGGGCTTGGAGTTGTAAGGTGATTCTGGGGAGGTCACATGCAGTTTAGAGCTGTGGGGCTGCTGTCCCTCAGCACCTCTGCTTTACAAAGAAAGAAACTGCTCAAACACAACAGGCAAAGGGCGCTCCAGGAGGAACACATGCTGGCAAACTCCAGGATGCATCATAATTTACTGTGAAGTGAGTTCTTACTACATGGACAGGCCAGGCTAGGCGAGAAACCCTGCTCAAGAGAACCTTTTTCTGTTTCTTAAAGACCTATTTTTATTATTGTAAATTATGTTTAGGATGTATGTCTCTGTGTGGATGGGTGTAGGCAGTCATAGTGGCAGAGGAGTTAGATCTTCTGGAGCTGGAGTTACAGATGGTTGTAAGTGGGTGCCAGGAACCAAACACAGGCTCTCTGCAAGAGCAGAAAGTGCTTTTTTTTTCCTTTTTTCTTTTTTTGGTTTTTCGAGACAGGGTTTCTCTGTAGCTTTGGTGTTTGTCCTGGAACTAGCTCTTGTAGACCAGGCTGGCCTCCAACTCCCAGAGACCCGCCTGCTTCTGCCTCCCGAGTGCTGGGATTAAAGGTGTGCGCCACCACCGCCCGGCTCAGAAAGTGCTTTTAAGTCATCTATCCAGACCCTCAAGAGATTTTCTCATCTAAACATCTTGAAACAGTTTTTTGTTTTTTTTTTTTTTAACTTGGGGCTGGAACTGAGTGCCTTTTACATGTTAGGCATTGAGCCACACCCCAGCCCCTCACTGGGGGATTCTAGGCAGGGGCTCTACCACTGAGCCACACCCCAGCCCCTCACTGGGGGGATTCTAGGCAGGGGCTCTACCACTGAGCTACACCCCAGCCCCTCACTGGGGGGATTCTAGGCAGGTGGGATTCTAGGGAGTTTCTCTAGCACTGAGTGATATCTGCAGTCTGGCCTAGTGTATTTAGCCAAAACTATAGATGTATGTCACCATACCTGATTTTATAGTTAGTATATATAATATATATATACTTGTTTATACATACAAGTATATATAAATAAATATATATACACATATACGTATATATACATGTATACATATAACATTCATATGTAACCACATTCCTCTTTTAATTTTGACCGTAAAGAATGTGCAGGGGTTGGAGAGATGGCTCAGTAGTTAAGTATGCTTGCAGTGCAATCATGAGGACCAGAGTTCAGATCCCAGCACCTATGTAACAAACCAAGCAACAATTCCAGCTTTGAAGGAAACAAAGTCCTTTTCTGGCTTTCTTGTGTGTACAGGCATATGCTCTCACACACACATACATTCAACATATACTCAAAGAGATAATTTTTTGGGATATGGTCTCACTATGTAGCTTGACTGTCCTGGAACTCTCTCTGTAGACTAGGCTGGCCTCGAACTCAAAGAAATCCACTTGCCTTTGCCTCCTGAGTGCTAGAATTAAAGGTGCACACCACCACTGCCAGCTATAAATAAATCTTAAAAAATAAAAAAGAGCCAGGCATGGTGGCATGCCTAAGGAGGCAGAGGCTGGCAGATCTCTGTCAGTATAAGGGCAGCCTGGTCTATATAAATGAGTCAGGCCAGGCAGGGCCACACAGTGAGACCCTGTCTCAAAACAAACAAGCAAGCAAGCAAAACGGGCAGGGCCAGTGAGAGGCCCAGTGATAACAGAACTTGCTGCCGAGGCTGCTGACTTCAGTTTGGCTCCCAGGAGCCACGTGGCAGCAGGAGAGAACTGATTCTTACAAATTATTCTTCCACTCCCACAGGCATGCCATGGCTCCCGGGTGCCCAAGCACATACTCATAAATAAATAAGTATAAAACACTATTTTTTTAGAAGGGGAATTTGAAAATGTGAAATTTTCTACTGATGTTTTAATTCTGCTATACTATGACACATAATGTCCAGTTAAACTTCCTTCAGATTCATGCACAGTTTTGCACAGCTGTGACCATAATGAACGAATGGTTTACTCCTTAAGCACTGAGTTTCTCATGCTGTCACAAGGGGACCATAGAAATAATATTTTACTAAGCCGGGCTGTGGTGGCGCACGCCTTTAATCCCAGCACTTGGGAGGCAGAGGCAGGTAGATCTCCGTGAGTTCGAGGCCAGCCTGGTCTATAGAGCTAGTTCCAGGACTGGAAACAGCTTGGCAGGTCATTTCTTAAGAATACCAAGCTCAGGGCTGGAAAGATAGGTCAGCAGTTGAGAGCACTAACTACTCTTCCAGAGAACCCAGGTTCAATACCCAGTACCTACATGGTAGCTCACAACTGTCTGTAATTCCAATATCTGACTCCCCTACACATACATGCAGGCAAAACACCAATGCAAATAAAAATAAACTATTTAAAAGAAAACATACCAAGCACAGCCAGGCAGTGGTGGCATATGCTGTTTGAGGCTAGCCTGGTCTACAGAGCAAGTTCCAGGATAGCCAGGGCTACAAAGAGAAACCCTGTCTCAAAAAGCAAAATAACAAAACAAAACAAAGAATACCAAGTTCTGCATCAGAAGTGTTTTGGAGGTGGAGGACCATGCACACACCATGGCTTGTGTGGTAGGCTCCAGAGACTGAATCTAGGTCATCAGGTGTGGCTGTAAGCACTTTGGTCCACCAAGCCCCATCTTACTGTCCCAGGGGATCACGTAAACCTCTGAAAGCCTGCAGATGGAGTTTCTCTATTGAACTGAACAGAATTGAGATTCATAGTAAATCCCATGCCTTGAGTTGCCAGAATCCACATGAGCCTGAGTCCAAAATTTTACACTTTTCTTATGTGGGATTCCAAAGAAGATTATTTTAAATTAAAACCTGTCAAACCTCTCAACTTCTATATTGGGCTCTGCATGGTGGTGCACGTCTTTAATCCCATGACTGAAAGGCAGAGGCAGGCAGATCTGTGTGAGTTGTCAGCCTGGTCTACACAGTGAGACCTCTGCATGATGGCACACGTCTTTAATCCCATGACTGAAAGGCAGAGGCAGGCAGATCTGTGTGAGTTGTCAGCCTGGTCTACACAGTGAGACCTCTCAACAAAACCCCAACCCCATACACCTCAATGAGAACATGTTAGCTGATAACCTTTATTCAGGAAGCAAAGTTAACTAGGAAACCATGCTTCAAAAATAAGCCACACAAGGCCAGGCCTCATGAGGCCACCGTCCAGTCATGCAGTGATGCAGGTGCCAGTCTCAGCAAGACATCCCCCTAGCAGACCGCCAACATGTTGGTAGCATGAGCAAGGTGCTGGCGACCTGAGGTTCAGATCCTTGCTCTGGGCAGTGTGCCCAATCCCAGCCAGTGCCTCATTTACATGTGAAATCCAGGTGTGAACTCCCCAACACCCTCCGCCCTGTGTGGGCAGACAGGTGACCTGATTCCCACTCATCCCCACAGAACTGTTGAAGATGAAAGCAGGTCCAAGAAGCTAAACAAGACTAAGATGCTGGCGGGGAGAGGATGCTGGTGTGTAAGGCAGAAACACAGGCACAGGAGCAAACTCAATGGACAATGGCAAGCCTACAGTTCACTGCCGACTTAGGTGTAGAGACCCCACAGCAAATAAAACCACAATAGGAAGTAGAAATAGACAAGATCTCCCGAGTAAATTGGGAGCATGGGGACCTTGGGAGAGTGTTGAAGAGGAGGGGGAGGCAGGGAGGGGAGCAGAGAAAATGTAGAGCTCAATAAAATCAATAAAAAATAAATAAAAACACAACCCTCAGCCAGTCGGTGGTGACACATACCTTTAATCCCAGCATTCGGGAGGCAGGAGGCAGGCGGATCTTTATGAGTTCAAAGCCAGCTTAACCTAACTGGTGAGCTCCAGACTAATGAGAGAACTTGAGTCAGAAAAGAAGGCGGACAACATGGCTTAGGGGCGTCCATGTGCACATATGCGTGCCCACATGCAGAGTGGCTTATAAATGTACGTGTGCACACATGCACATGGGTGTGTAAATATACACACAGGCTTCCTATCACTTCAGCTGTACCCTGGCTTCTTTGAGAACTCAAGAGGAAGGAAAGGCAACCTCCGTTGTATACTGTTTCACGGGACAGCGACCTGCACAGAGCTCTGGGATCGAGGTCCCAAAACAAACACAGGCAATTGCAATCCTGTTGCCACGGAGTCTCCCTCCCCTAACTGCACCACTGAGTCCCTTTCTCCAACCACACCAGAAAAGCAACATCCTTCACTTTCTTCAGGACACAGGGGAAGGGCCATTCTTGCCACAATGCAGTCACGGTGGGGATAAAGGGATAGCCCAACTATCTGATCATACTTACTTGGTGATGTGGAAGGAGGTTTCTGGCAACCTTTTCTTTTTGTTTTCTGCAAGAAAGGAGAAGCAATGTGAAGCATGCTGGGCTTCCTAAGAGACCTCAAGGGCACTGCTGGAAAATCAGACACAGTGGGGAATGAGCAAGATGGGCCCTGAAAGAGACCCTGGCTAGGGCAAACCTCTTGGAGGTTTGAGCCACTTCACAGTGAGCCTCACACATGGGAGGTCCATGGCTAGGGCTGGGAGCCAAAAAGGTCACTCTCTCTGACAGGGTTACACAGAGATACCCTGTCTTGAAAACCAGAAAAAGGTTTTCTGAGAGTCACTCCAGACAAGACAAGCTGAAAAGAAGACTCTCAGCCTCTAAGACCTGGGAGAATTCTAGATCAGAATCACTTGGAAAAGACAGTCTCTAAACTGCTGAACTTCCTGCCGGCTATTCAGTGTGCTCCAGGTTCCCAGCTCAGGGAACTGTCACCCATGCTCATCTGGACCTTGGTAATGCAGCTGTTTTTGAGTAATTTTTTGTTCCTACCAAGTAACCTCTCACCAATATTCCTCTAACTAGCCCCTTCACCAAGCTGGGCTTTGCTGGTATCTGTACTTTGGTCTGTCACGGGACCCCTATCTGGGTAGACAGATGTGTGCTGAATCTCCCCAGGAAAGATTTTGTCACACCACAACACAGAGGTCCCTCCTTGGTGACAGTGGGCTTGTGAGGCTTCTAAATGGAGCTTAGGCTTCTTGTGGTGGGTCCCTTCAAAGCTCATATATAGCTGGAATCCAGTCTATACTCAGGGTCACTTCACTGTCTTATCCCTAAGTGAGCACTTAGCATGCTTCCTTTGCTACTCAGAACAATTTACAAAAAGAACCCAAGAGGCTAGCTAATCCCCAGGGGACAGTGGGAGAGAAGTTCCACTGTGAGTGCCTGCCTGGAATCCCCCAGCGATGGCTGGGGTGTGGCTCAGTGATAGAGCCCCTGCCTAGAATCCCCCAGTGAGGGGCTGGGGTGTGGCTCAGTGGTAGAGTGTGTGCCTAGAATTCCCCAGTTATGGGATAGGGCATGATTCTTCAGTGTATCCTAGTCTGACCACCTCTGCAGTTTTCTTGACTAGTTCCTAGCTCTCTGGGGGTTCCTTTGTGAGCTGCCATGTGGATACTGGGAACTGCATCCATGCACTCTGCAAGAGCAACAAGTGCTTTTAAACTGAGCCATCTCTCGAGCCCTTCACAATTTCTAAAACTAGCATTAAAATGATAACCTCAGTTTTTATTATTTTGTTGTTGCTGTTGCTATTGGTTGAGACAGGGTCTTAAGTAGCCCAGGCTAAATGACATGAAACTCATCTTCCTGCCTCTACCACCTCCCAAATGCTAGGATTACAAGCATGCATCACCATACCCAGTTTACAGTGTTAGATATGGAACCCAGAGCTTCCTGCCTGCTAGGTACACACTCTGCCACTGAGATACATTCCTTACCCTTGAAATTGATTTCCAATAAATAAAAAATTTAAAAATGATCATCCCAGTTATTTAAATTCAACTAACAGACTACAACTTCTACACCAGAGGCAGCTTGGGCACCAGTGCTCTGGGTCCACCAGCATTGGGGGAGACTACACACATCCAAGGGACACTGACACGGGGACAGTCATCCCTACTTGTACTCACCGTCTCAAACTCAGAATCAAAGGTAATTGCAGACAGGCTGTCATCTCCCTGGAAGAGATGCACACAGGATCACTGGAAGGCACTGCTTGAGTTCCCCAATCCCATTTGCAAACTGCCTGTCCCAGCTCCAGCAACAGGACCCAGCACATGTCACGCCACAGCATGACATCTTGATCCTTCAGTGGCCAGTGTATCCCGATAGTCAGAAAGGAGGGGTGGGAGCAGGGGATGCCGCGTTAGAAAAGTACATGTTGATCAAGCATGAGGACCTGAATTCGATCCAGTGCTGGGGTAGAAACAGGCGGATCATCGGAGCTCAATGGCCAACCCGCCCAGCCTACTGAGTGCATTTGAGGCCAGTGTGAGACCCTTCCTCAAAAAAAGGCGTGTGTGTGGAAAACGTCTTTGAGGAATGTCCTGTGACATTCCTTGGGCCTCCATTCATGAACATACACAGGAAGAGGAAGGCTGTGGGGTGGTTAGCGATTCTGCCTGGCCAACTGAGTCTATGTCCAGAGGTATGGTGGGTCCTCAGGACTACTGTGTGCCTTTGACAGTGTTCTCAACTCCAGAGAGGCATTCCGTTCTTCCCTGTGTCAACAGTCTGACTCTTAGTCACCTTCCACTCAAAGCAGGCCATGTCCTGGCAGAGCAGAGCAGTGATTACACGTCTCGATTTCATTTTTCTTGTTTAAAGGTATTCAAACTCTGTGTGTTCGTGCATGCATGTGTATGTAGGTGCCCGTGGATGCCAGAAGAAAGTGCCAAATCCCCTGGAGGTGGACTTACAGGCAATTGTGAGCTCTGACATGGGTGCTGGGAACCAAACTCCAGTGCTCGGAAAGAGCAACAACTACTCTTACTCACTGAGCTATCTGTCCAGTCCCCACCCCCATATACTTTATTTTTATGTGTATGTGGCTATATCTATCTGGTGTGCTCATCTGTGTATGTGTGTTCCTGAGTGTGTGTTTGTGTGTAAATCTGAAATAGTCATTGTGTGTCCTTCACTCCCTTCCACTGTGACACAGGCTTTCTTGCTGAACCGAGAGCTCGTTAATTGTGGCTCGTCTAGTTAGCCGGCTTGCCCAGGGGAATCCCATCTCCAGTTCCTAAGCATCGGTGTTACAGGCAGCAGCTGTGCCCATGCGCCTTTGCGGTGGATTCTGGAGATCTGAACTCCGGTCCTACTGCAGGCAAGCATTTTATCCCTGGAGCCTTCTCTCTAGGTCTTGGTTACAGTCTGGAAAACACCTCCAGGTGGTACAAGTCACGATTTGGAAAACCGAGGCAGAAGGAAACCAAATTTGAGGCTAGCCTGGGCTACATACAAAGTCAGACCATTTTTAAAAAAATATGGAAAGTGTTAGCAATGAAGTTAATGGTAATAGTTACAGAACAATAGAAATATGATGTTTTAACCTATGGGGAAAAGATGTAAATAAAACAAACAACAAACATGAATTGGCTTTCTGTAGATGGCCAGGTTATGGGTAACGTCCCAAGACTGAAAGAGTAACGCATTATCTTTGTAAACACAAAGTTTGCGTTTGTGTGTGTGTGTGGGGGGGGGGTTAAGACAAGGTTTCTCAGTGGCGGTGGAGCCATTCCTCGAACTTGCTCTGTAGACTAGGTTGGCCTTGAACTCTCAGAGATCCACCTGCCTCTGCTTCCTGAGTGCTGAGATTCAAGGAGCGGGCCACCGCTGCCTGACCACAGGAAGGTTTTAACTTGTTCAAGGTCTGGAGAGTTCAGGGGTAGCTGGGGGTTGTGGCTCAGTGGCAGAGCACTTGCTTGGGGTAGGGGTCTGACACTCAGTAGAGTACTGGCCTAGAATCCCCCAGTGGCCGCGTGGGGGAGGTTCATCTGTAGAGCTCTGGCCTGGCCTGAGGGGTTCAGCCTCCAAGAGCACACACAAAGCAAACAGCAACCGACCTGCTAAACTAGGTAAGACTTGGGAAGTCTCCCCTGCAGGGACAAGTAGGAAATCCTAGCTGCTCTCTGCTGACTAGAAGCATAGTCCCTTAGTCTGTGTGAAATCTCCCCTCCCTCAGGCGTCCCTTGGACCCTTGATAAGTCATTCTCCTTGTGGCCAGGTTCCTGCCTACCTCCCTTCAGTCCCCTTCTCGATAAGATCCCAGAGGGCTTGCTTTGGGTCCTTTGGATACACACTTTCCCGCCTCATAGCCTTTGCATTTATTGTTCCCGCGGACCCTAAACTTTTGTCTTTGAGATCGAGGAATTGCCCTGTCTTATAGCCCCCACTGGAATGCACAAAGTTCACTTGGTACCGGCACGCACAGAGGGCCAGAGGGTCGATCCCGCACTGGGAGACCGAGGGTCGCACGCCTCTTCTAGAGATGCCTCTCTGACCCATACGGGGTTGGCTCTGGGGGTGGAGGCCTTCTCCTTTGCCTGGGATCGCTCTGAGGAGTCACTGGAGTGCAGCCTGCAGCAACACTTACGAGGTGAGCTCGTCACCAGCCAGTCGCGGCCTCTGACCCGCAGCGCGCGCGGGACGGCGCAGTCCCGGGGGCTTCGTGGAAGCAGTGGCTTCCGCGAGCGCGGGCCGGAGCTAGAGGCTGCTAGGGCACGGGCACGGTGGCGGCCGACGCCCGGGGCTAGCTCTTGTGCGGTAACAATCGGCTTGCGGGAGCTGGCTGCTGCCGTGCGCCTGTCCTCCCTCTGCCTCGGGCCTCCTTACCGTCTCCGAGGCTAGATCCGCGGTGCCCAGACTCATAGTGGCGGCGCTGCGCGGCCTCCTGGACGCTGCGAGCTTGGCCCTCAACATGGGAGGCCTGCCAGCAGCCCTGCTGCCATGGCAACCGTGCCGCGGCCACAGGGCCCCGGATGTGGACCTTCCCCTGGAGCCTGGCGAACCGTGCGCGCGCGCAGAGTGAGCGCGGGCATGGGGGCCGACCATGCACTCTCCCGAGGTTGCACTACGCTGGTGGGGTTTCGGTTTCTGGTGCTGCTTGAATTGAGCCCAGTGCCTCCTGCATGCAAGGCCGGCTCTCTACTTCGGAGCCACGCTCTCAGCTGCAACTTCAGGAGCCCGAGTTGGGTTTCTGCAGATAGTGGCTACAACTGTGTAGTCCAGCGGGCAGGGCTTCCAAGGGTCGCCATGTTGAGTGGACACAGGGGACAGAGTGTAAGGCACCATCGTTAGTGATAGGCGCCTACTTAAATGTTTATTTTTCCTCTAAATAATCTGAGATGTTGGGGGCCAAAGTGACTCCCTAATTGTTAAACCTGGGGCCTTTCGCCTTGAGGAAAGGACAGTTCACACCAGGACTATCCATAGGCCTGCACCAACCGCTTTATACACTCTGCTAACAAGCACTTCACTGGTGGCCCAGCAGGCCAGTGCTAGTGCAAACACAGTACCTCATTTGCCTTGGGGTCATCCTGCCTCTGCCTCCTCAGTGTTGGGATTACAAGTGTCTATCACCATACCTTGCTTTTTTTCTTCTTCTACCTCACTCTGTCGGTTGGCGACTAACAGACTTGAGTCCTTTATGCTTGCAAAGCAAGCACTTGACTAGCCCATTTCCCAGCCCGCATTGTTTCTGAGTAAAGAGCTCTCCCCAGCTGGGTGATATTGCAACATTAAAACTCAAGACAAGGCTTTTCTTTGAGTGCTTTCTTTACTTACTTGAAAAAGATTTTTTTCTTTTGATTTTCCAGACAGGATTTCTCTGTAGTTTTTGGTGCTTGTCCTGGAATTAGCGCTTGTAGACCAGGCTGGCCTCGAACTCACGGAGATTTGCCTGCCTCTGCCTCCCAAGTGCGCCACCACCGCTCGGTGGAAAAAGAATTTTTTCTTAAAGAAAAAAAATACTTTAAGACAGCGAGACTAGCCCTAAACTTACATAGGCACATCAATTCTGAGCTTAAAGGCAAAAGCCTCCACGCTCTGCCCTGAGAGGTATTTTTTTTTCTTTTCTCTCTTTTTTTTTTTTGGTTTTTCGAGACAGGGTTTCTCTGTAGCTTTGGAGCCTGTCCTGGAACTCCCTTTGTAGACCAGGCTGGCCTCGAACTCACAAAGATCCGCCTGCCTCTGCCTCCCGAGTGCTGGGATTAAAGGCGTGCGCCACCACCGCCCAGCCCTGAGAGATATTTTTATGTGTTTGTGTGGGTGACCTCAGGGCTGGGGATACTCTTAACCACTGAACCACCTATCTAGCCCCCGCTTGCCTACTTTTTATCTTTATCACTAGCAGAGTGGGCTGAGGCCGTGAAGAGCCACACAACTGCAGGCTTTGGTAACTGGAGGGGTCCTGACACTCTAGTTCCCGGAGTTTAGCGGTAGCCACTGTAGGAGCAGAGAGTTTCAGCACCGGAGGCCCCATCACAGGTCCTGCCGACATTCACTGTAGCCAGGAACAACAAAAGCTAGCAAAAGGCAGGGGCCGCAAATGTCCACACGAGGCCGGAGGCCAGCGAGGCCCCGCCTTCCAGTGAATAGCCACGCCCACACAGGGGCCGCCTTGACGATGCTCCGCCCACTTTCTGAGTGGGCGTGCAACACTTAGCGTCGGAGTTGGATGGTGTGGTGCTTCCGAGTGAGTGAAAATCCCAAGCTGTACCCAACTGAGTGCATTTACAGGGTTTTGAGTCTTAAAAGTGATCGGAGCGGCGTTCATGATCATCACTGATCTCCAAGGGCACCGTCCTCACTTTTTCTCGCCCCGTGACTGTCACGTGGTACAGGCAGGGCCTGTATAGTCGTAGACTCAAGCGGAGGAGGGCGGAACCCGCAGCACTAAGGGGCGGAGCCTGTAGCCACGTGAAAGGGATTGCGTCAGGGGCGGGGCCTCGGCTGCGTGCTGCGAACTCTTGCGGGATGGAGCCAACTCCCGCCCGGGGGCAGGACCTGTGATGGCGTCTGGCGGGGCCTGCGGCTGCGTGGAACTGACTCTGGGGCGGGGCAGAACCTGGGGAGGGCGGGGCCTGGGCCGGCGTGGAGCGGAATTTGCGGAGGCGCGGGCGGGGCCTGTAGCAGACACCGGAACCTCTGCGGGTGAGTCGTGAGCAGATCAGGGATTCAGATCCCGGTAACGCGGAGTGGGAGCTCCGGGCAGGCACTTGGGGCCTGGTCGTGCATTCTGCACTCTCGGGCCTAGGCCCATAACAGAGAGACGCGGAGGCGGGATTCGAACCCTAGCTAACTCGAAATCGCGGAGTGCGCACCTCTTACCCGGAATTGGGAGGTACGGACGACGAATGTTGGAGTTGAGACGGACCGTGCCGGGCCGACATCGTCCTCCAAGATGCATATTTCTGTCCTGAATGGACACCTTCCGATTCAGGCCGCAGGGTGGTCACTTGCAGCCTCTACCGACCTGGGCTGTGATACGCACATTCCTCTGCATTCCTGGGTCTCATGCAGGTTTCTCTTGACCGTTGAGAGCAGATTCGAGGGTCAGGTGCCTGGATGGACAGTCCCCTGCATATTTGGCTGATCCCCTGACTCTCTTCTCCCCGCAGCTAGGTCAGTAGGCAAGTTGCACCTCCACCTCAACGCACCACACCCCTAAGTCGACTCGACCCCAAAGGCCTCGTGGCTCTGATTAACATTTCCTCACCCACCAGGTTCCCCTGATTGAGTTTAGTGTCTGTGTGAGCTCAAGAGTTCTGGCCCTGATGAAGTTTTTTGGGCCCCTCCCCCATCATAGCAGACATCGGAGGTTGCTATGGCTGGTGTCTGAAGCCAGATATGATCATGACTGATCCATTGCTTCCTCTGTAGGAACCGCTGCCCTGATCATGGACCCAGAATGCTCCAGGCTCCTCCCGGCTCTCTGTGCTGTTCTGGCAGATCCCAGGCAGCTGGTGGCAGATGACACCTGCTTGGAGAAACTGCTGGATTGGTTTAAAACAGTGATGGAGACAGGTACAGGCGTGGCGTATAACTGTCCATTGGTTTGGTGTCTTTCCTTCACCTCCTTGAGGCTCTCTGGATGATGAGGGAGAGCCAAGATAGGGCCCAGGGGCAGTAGTCCCATCGGAGTCGATCCACATTTCAGACTTCCTGCTGTCCAGTTCACATTAGGTGTTTGCAGAGAGCACGCCTGCATTGTTTAGCTATCTTTGTTGCATTTTGGGCCTCAGCTTCGAGGCCAGCCAGCGCTACATAGTGAGTTCAAGGCCAGTCTGAGTTACAATTTTGCTGTGTGGGTGGATCTTAATTTATAATCACTTGCATTGTTTGTGTTTCCGATTTTTTGTTATTATAAATAGTGCTGTACCGGCTTTCCTTGTGCGTGAGTACCCTGGCAACTGGAACTTTTTCCTCTTATGGTTGATCCTTGTCTTCTGACAGGGTCCATGGTCCTTGTCTTACCGTTAATACCTACCTTTTTCTTCCTTGGTTTTCTTTTCCTTTTCTTTTGAGACATGGTCTAGTGTAGCCTAGGCTGTCCTCAAACTCACTGTGTAGCCTAGTATGACCTTGAACCTCTGGTCCTCGTAAGTGTGAATCATCACTCCCTGTTTTTATTGGATGCTGAGGATGGAACCAAGACTTTGTGCATGGCAGAGAAGCACTTTACCAACTGAGCCACATCCCCAGCCTTTATCTTTTCTTTTGTATTTCGTTTTGCCTGTTTTCTAAGTTCCAGGATTTAAAAGGGCAATAGTCCTGTAAAAGTGACATGTTAGTTGAAGCTTACTACAAGTTTAGCTGCATGGTACTTTTGTAATTTAGGGTTTTTCTTTGTTTGTTTTGTTTTTGAGTTGGGGTTTTTCTGAGTAACAGCCCTGGCTGTCCTGGAACTAGCTCTGTAGACCAGGCTGGCCTTGAACTCAACAGAGATCCCCAGGTCTCTGCCTCTCAAGTGTTGGGATAAAAGGTGTGCACCACTACGTCTGACATGTGATATGTGTGTGTGTTTGCCTATGTATGTGTACATGTTTGCTTACCAGTGTGGAGACCAGAGGTTGACATTGTCTTTTCAGTCATGTCCCACCTTATATACTGAGGCAGCGTCTCTCTTTTCCCTCTCACTTGAACCAAGAACTTCCCAGTTTGGCTGTTCTAGCAGGACAGCTGAGGGTCCCCTGTCTGTGTCTGGAGTGCTGCCTGCCCAGCATTTATATTGGTTCTGAGAATCTGAACTCTGGTCCCGCACTGAAAGCTTTACCTACTGAACCATTCCCCAGCCCTAGAAGCCTAGTTTTCAGCCAAGTTTCTATAAGTAATTTTACAGGAGTGTGTGTGTGTGTCTTCGTGCACACACAGGCATCTACAGACAAAGGTCAGAGCGGGATATTAGGCATCTCCCCTCACTTTCTACCTATTGCCTTGAGACAAGCTCTGTTGCTGAACCTGAAGTTACAGGAAACTGGGCTAGCTGGCTAGGAAGTCCTTGGGATCTGTCTGTCTCCACCTCTCCCCCAACTCTAGAATTAGAGGCATGCAGAGACATGCCTGGCATTTTTGTGAGTGCTGGGAATTCGAACTCAGATCCTCCTGCTTGCTGTGCCTGTCTTATCCATGGAAGCATCTCCCCAGCCCCTTTCACAACTTTGGTTTCTTTGGAGGCAGGGTTCAGCTGTATAGTCCAGGCTGGCTTGGACTCACCATCTAGAGCAAGCTGGCTTTGAACTCAGGGGTCTGCCCACCTCTGCCTCCCAAGTGCCACGTTTAAAGGTGTATGCCACCACATCTGACCTGTAAGTGTTTTTAAACAGCTTCATCAAGATGTGATTTACCTGCCAGAGTTCACGTATTTAAAGTTTACCCAGTTCAGCTGGGTGTGGTAACTCACACCTGTAATCACAGCATTAGGGAAGCTGAGGCAGGAGTGTTACCTCGGTTACTTAGTGAGTTCAGGGTCAGCCTGTCTTGAAAATGTATATAAAAAAATGAAAATAAATGAATGGAAATGAGGTGTACCAGTTAGTGGGTTTCAGTCAACTTAGGGGGTGTCTGGACTCATTTTGTAAATTTTTTGTCCCCCCATAGATAGGTATCCTTTGGTAGGCAGGTCCTCCTCCTACCTCTCTCCCAGTTCCCCTCAGTTTTTAAAATGTCCCACATGATGGAGCTGTGCCTGTTGGTGCAGGCCTGTTATCCCCTCTACTGGGGGCTGAGACCCGAGGATTGTGAGTTTATAGTCTAGGCTGCACAGTGAGTTCAAGGCAAGAAGCTGTTAAAAACAAGAGTAACAGGGTTGGTAGCCAGGTGTGGCGGACACTTGGGAGCCAAAGGCAGGATCAGACGTTCACAGTGGTAAACTTCAGCTGCATGGTAAATTCAAGGCTAACCTGGGCTAGGAGACCTTGTTTAAAATCAAATAAACAAAGAAAACAAACAAAAAAAACCCAAACAATGACAACAACAGCTCAGGAAAAGTGCTTGCCTACCATTCCTGAGGCCCTCGGGCCCGTCCTAGCTTTGGCCCTCTGTCTCCCACCAAAAGGAAAAGCCAGGCATGGTGCTACATACCTATAATCCTAGCATTTGGAAGACGGAGCCTAGAGGAGCAGGAGTTCAAGGCCAGCCTCAGTTGTATAACAAATTCAAGACTACCTTGGGTTACGGGATTACAGGAGACCCTGCCTCAAAAAAAAAAAAAAAGTTTTACATGTTGGAATGAACACTTTTCCTACTTGTTCATGAGATTGGCTTCTGCTGTTCATATCTGCTGTTTGGCAATCTGTCCATGTAATGGTTTCTCAGAGGTGTGTAAAAGTCTTCTGAGATTGTAAATTCCGCTTTTTTTAAATGCAATGTTGTCTTTAATAGCTTGTTATTTTATTTCTTCTCTCTCTCCGAGCCCATTCCCTTTCCCCCTCTTTCCCTCCCTCCCCTACTGGGGGATTCTAGGCAGGTGCTCTACCACTGAGACACACCCCAGCCCCTCACTGGGGGATTCTAGGCAGGGGCTCTACCACTGAGCCACACCCCAGCCCCTCACTGGGGGATTCTAGGCAGGGGCTCTACCACTGAGTCACACCTCAGCCCCTCACTGGAGGAGTCTAGACAGGTGCTGTATGTAGAGTTACAGCCCCAGCTCTTTACTTGTCTATGGTTCTTGTCTGTGTCTTTTATCTACTGCCCAGTCATTGACTCTCTGGGGTCTTTGCCTTAATGAATTTAGGTTAGGAGCTATCTGTTGCAACCTTCCCCCAGGACTACTCAATCTTGAAGGATAGGGATGTGTGAGCCATTTCTAGAGAGGTTCTCTGGTCACTGCTCTCTTGGGATATCCTGTCTCCACAGAGTCCAGCCTCCAACTGCTGCAGGACCACCCCTGCCTAATGGAGCTACTGTCCCATGTGCTGAAGCCACAGGACGTGAGCCCCAGGGTCCTCTCCTTTGCTCTACGCCTTGTCGGGATCTTTGCAGCCCAGGAAGACTGTTTCCAGTACCTCCAGGTGAGTCTTTGTCTCCTGTGTGCTTGTCCCTTAGGGCAGTCATCTTCTCCCTCTGGATTAGGGCCATCTCAGTACCTGGGTCTCAGTGGCTGGGCCACTGCGTCAGGATTTCAACCCCAGTGTCCCCCACATTGGTCCTCCTTGGAAATCCTCACCAGGGATGATGCCAACTGGCTATCTTTTCTCACCAGCTGTGTGATCCTTGCCATGTTCTCTTTCTGATGGGGTCTGTGAGGGTCGGAGGACACCGCAGGTGCTTTCTCTGCAGCATGTCATGGATTGCATGGGGAAGAGAGCACAGTGGTCCACATGCAGTGACTCCACCTGCCCAGGGAAATTCAGCTCCGTGGGATCTGGTGCCCTCTGCTGGCTTCCATGGCACCTACATTCATGTACATACCTACACTCAGACATAGACACATAATTTAAAAAGTTGAAAAATAGAAATTTTACAAAGAAAGAAGAAGGAAAAGAAATGTTTGTTCTTCCTCTGACCTCTTTCCTTTCTCTTGAGGGCAGAGCAGATGGTGCCGGGGCCTGAGAACAGCTGTATGGCACCAGTTGGTGCCTCACCAATCCTGTTGGTTTTCATTTCGTTATTTGAGGGTTTTTCCCCCAAGACTTTATTTACTTATTAACCTTTTATTTTGTTTTTGCTTTTTGAGACAGTATCTTTGTAGCCGTGGCTGTCCTAGAGCTTGCTTTGCAGCCCAGGCGGAGGCCGGCCTCTAATTCCAAAAGATCCTCCTGTCTCTGCCTCCTAAATGCTGGGATTAAGGGTGTGTGCTGCCACACCTGGTGTTTATTTTTATTTTATGTCTGTGGGTGTTCTACATACAGAATGTATGTGGACCACATGTATTCAGTTCCTGTGGAGGTCAAAGGAGGGCATCAGATCCCCTGGCACTGGGATTTATATAGTTGTGAGCCACCATGTGGGTGCTGGGAGCCCAGCCTGGATTCTCTACCAGAGCAGCCAGTGTTCTTAAATCCCAAGCCACCTCTCCAGCCCCTTGTTTTCATTTTTGAGATAAGGCCTTTCCATGTGCCCCTGGCTGAGCTAGAATTCAGAGACCCACTTGCTTCTGCCTCTCAGTTCTGGGGTATAAGGTGTGCACCACCGAGCTGAGCCTGGCTCTCCCAATCCTGACACACAGAAAAGCCTCTTCCTCTGCCTCCCTGATGCTTTCTTTGCTTCTTAGCAGGGGGAGTTGTTGCTGGGGCTCTTTGGGGAGACGGGTGCCCTCAGCTGGGCAGCCTGGAGCGTGCCCAGTGTGCGCAGTGGCTGGATCCAGGGCTTGTGCTCCCTGGTACGCCACCCCAGCGCCCTGCACTTCCTGGCTGACAGTGGTGAGTGTCTCCCATGCCCTACCGCAGTTCATCCATCCCACTTTTGCCTTGAAAGCCTGTGCTGTGGGGTCTCTCCGGAACACCTGAGCATCTCTGAGTCTAGTGTTCTCAGCTGGGGAAGGGTGGTGGTCTAGAGTTGTCAGGATAAGCACAAGTGGTTATAGGGATATTGCCATCTTTGACTTCTAGGATCTGGGTGGACCCTATGCCAGTGTCTTGTCAAGTGGTCATGAGCTTGTCCTCGAAACAAATTAGAACTCCTTAAAAGCTGCATTGGCTCTAAAGCCAGCGTGCTAGATGCACATGTTGGGATTGCTTGTGAGCAGAGGGGTGTCCGGGTGCTTTTCCTGAGGCATGGAAGGGTGTGATAGACAGGTGCCCTCTGCGTGCCTCCTCATTCAGGCTGACCTTCTGCTGCCCACTCCAGGTGCTGTGGACACGATCTTCTCCTTGCAGGGAGACCCCAGCCTGTTTGTGGCCTCTGCAGCCAGCCAGCTCCTAGTACACATCCTGGCTCTGGCCATGCAAGGTGGGGCTTCAGGGTCCCCCACCCGAGAGGCTGCTGCCTGGCCCGTCTGTGCTCAGAAGATTGTGAACCATGTGGAAGAGTCCTTGCATTCCAAAGCCACCCCACAGGTCACACAGGCCCTGAATGTACTGACCACCACTTTTGGGCGCTGCCATAGCCCCTGGACAAGGGTCCTCTGGGAGCGGCTGAGTCCTCCTGTTGCCTGCCTGTTTGAGAGAGACCCCATTCCAGCTGTCCACTCACTCATGGACCTTCTCCTCAGCGTGGCCAGGTCAGGTGGCTGCAGGGGCTGAGGGTGAGTGGTGATGCCTGTGATGGCTCAGAACAGCTGATGCTTCAAGGGAAGAGTCTAGCACTGTCCCCTCAGGGGATGGCCTCTTCAGGACTGGGCACGTCTGTAGCTGTCCAGTTAGGCACTGATGGAGGAGTAATTTTTCTTTCTGCAGGTCTCCTGTGTTGAATTTTTCAGCCTGTGGTTTGTGGGAGATGCTGGCCCAGACTCTGAACCGCCTGAGCCCCACACAAGCTGGGCCTCTAGCTCTGGGGACCCTGAAACTCCAGCATTGGTATGATTGGGGTTGCTGAGAGTGTTGCCCTGATGGTTGGGGAACTTTGGAAACTGGAAGTCAGATATGAGAATAGGTTAGGTGGGAGAATTGCTAGGTGGGATTGGCAGTTATTAAAGCAGTGATTGCCTCTTTTTGTCCCTCCCTCCTCTCTCTTCTTCCCCTTTCTCTTTCCTTTTCTCAGTACTTGGTATGGAACTCAGTAACTTCATATATGCTAGTCCATACTCTCTCACTGAGCCACACCCCAGCCCCTCACTGGGGGATTCTAGGCAGGTGCTCTACCATTGAGCCCATCCCAGCTCCTCACTGGGGGATTCTAGGCAGGTGCTCTACCACTGAGCCACGCCCCATCCCCTCACTGGGGGATTCTAGGCAGGGGCTCTACCACCGAATCACACCCCCAGCCCCATTTTCTTATTTTGAGACAGTTTTTACTGAATTTCCCAAACGGTCTTTGAACTTTACATCTCCACCTCAGTCCCCTAAACAGTTTGAATTACAGGCATGTTCCACCATACTGAGCAAGACAAAGAACTGTTTCAAACAACAGTTTTGTGATATCCCCAGACCTAAAGCTAACTCTGTAGCTGTCCTCTGACCTCTGCTGTGGATGAGCCAGGCTCCTGGAACCCCATAGTGTATACTCCAGGTGGTGTGCAAAGGTGTGGGTTTCTGAGTGTGGGATGCAAGGAGGATGGGTGCTAAGTGCCTAAGCAGGCTCAGTTCACCAGGGTGGTCTATCACAAAAACAAAGATACTCGGGTCATTGAACACTACATGAACACACTTGGACACGACTCTGTGAGCCTGGAAATTGCCTGTCACTCTGATCAGGGAGTGTGATTGGGTCTTCTGGGGACCCTGAGACCCAGGATCTGCTCCTAAGGATATCAGGGCCAAGCCTGCAAGCCTTGGTTAGGCTTCTCCCCCTATCCTGGTCCTTAAGCAGTAGCTTGCAGAGGAATTGTGTTAGGGAGCCTGCACCTTTGCTTATACTGAACCATTCTAAATTTGCTGAGGGTGTTCAGATTGCAGCCAGAGTATAACCCTCACAGAGTGCTGTGTCCCCAGTCCCCAGGAACTGAGAACCCGGGCCTTCAGTGTCCTCCTCCAGCCCCTGGCCTGTATCCTGAAAGCCACCACTCAGGCGCCTGGACCTCCAGGTATGCAGGGAGGGTGGAACCTCCATCTTTAGGCAAAGAAGAATGAGCTGCTGTGGTCCCACCCAGCCCCTCAACTAAGTACAGTTGGACAGCATCCTTGGCGAGCCCTGGCCCTGAACTTGAGACTTGGCCCCTGCTGTGGATGGTGGCCACTACAGGGATGCTGTTGGTTTTGGCCTCAGGCTTGCTGGACGGGGCTGCAGATAGCTTGCTGACTGTGGATACACTCTTGTCATCTAAGTCGACCTGTGTGGGACTTCTCTGCCAGACTCTGGCTCACCTGGAGGAACTACAGATGCTGGTAGGTGCAGCCCTGGCCTATGTCCATCGGGTCCTATGACCCCAGGCCTCTACTCACCCATCCTCCTTTCTGCAGCCCCAGTGCCCCTCCCCCTGGCCCCAGGTGCCCCTGCTGGGTGCTGCGGTGACCATATTGCGTCTCTGTGATGGCTCGGCGGACCCCAGCTCCAGTGTGGGAGGTCGTCTCTGTGGGACCCTGGGTGGCTGTGTTCGTGTTCAGCGAGCAGCCCTCGACTTCTTGGGGACACTGTCTCAAGGAATGGGTGAGTGGTGTTTTCTCTGGCACTGAGTTCCATTTTCTCTTCCCTTTCTTCTGTAACCCTACCAGGTTCTCCTATAACCCTGTACTCTTACCCCTGTTTCCTTAAGGCCTGGAGTCCATGCTCCCTGCTGGGTGGTGGGCTCTGGGTAGAAGCTGGGTTGATGCTTCCGTTCACGTCTGTTTCAGGCCCCCTTGAGTTGGTGCTGGAGGTGTTTGCGGTTCTCCTGAAGACCCTCGAGAGCCCAGAGTCCAGCCCAATGGTATAGTAAATGGGTTTTGGGAGGCCTGCTCACCTGGGGACCTTCTTGCTTAAGAATGCTTCCAATAGGGGCCACACAGCCCTACCCATGTGGGTAGCCTGCCATTCCTACTCTCAAGCCTGTCCTGCCCATTCTAGGTCCTGAAAAAGGCCTTCCAGGCTACCCTCAGGTGGCTCCAGAATTCACACAAGACCCCCAGCTGCTCTGACCTCAGCGCTGATGCCCTGCTGTTCCTTGGAGGTAACCCTGGTTCCTTGCAGAACTGTATAAAGCTGGAGAGCTGGGGTGGAGACAGTTGGGGGTTCGGCAAGGTAGCCCTGAGTGAAGGCAGAGTGTGACCCTAGAGGCCACTGACCACCCCTTCCTGGTACAGAGCTATTCCCCATACTACAGAAGCGTCTGTGCAGCCCGTGTTGGGAGGTGAGGGACTCCGCCCTGGAGTTCCTGACGCATCTGATCCGACACTGGGGAGGTAAGCGCCCTCTGGGCAGGAGCGTGTGTTATGCTTATGTGTCCTGCTGGCTCTGGGGCTCTTAGAATACCTGAGTGGCATTTGATCACAACTGTGTGGCATTTGATCCCCAGGGCAGGCTGACTTCAGAGAGGCACTGCGTTCCTCAGAAGTGCCTGCGTTTGCCCACCAGCTCCTCCAAGACCCCGAGAGTTATGTCCGAGCAAGTGCAGTAGGCGCTGCTGGGCAGCTCTCTACCCGGGGCCTACAGGCCGCTCCCACCAGCCCCGAGAACCCGCAGGCCCAGCAGGTAGGAGCCGTTCGTTGTTGGTCCAGTGAGTGGGTAAGCAGCTGTCAGATCTGTAGCAACTGCTCCTGAGAGTAGGGCTATCCAGAGGGACTGCCGAGGAGCTGGGGGCACAGGGCACAGTGCCTGTGCTCTTCCTGGCACCCTGTCTTAGACACTGACCCCATCTGAATGGGAGGCAAGGGCCAAGCTGAAGAGCGGTGCATACAGAGCACATTGTGTGAAGGGCAGAAACAGCACATGGCTCGGGCCCCGGGGGCCGCAGACTTGTGTCTCCTGGCTCATTGCTATATTAATTGCTTTTCTTGTTGCTGTGTCAAAATGCCTTATGAAAGCAAGTTAAGGAAGGATATAGTGGGGCTTATAGTTTGAGGGTACAGTCCATCATTGTGCATGAGTCAGGGTCAGGATCCGGAGAGTCCGGGACCCCAGCACATCCTCTCTAGCTTTATCTAAGGACTCCCATCACAGTTACTTCTAGAGGTTTGTCTTGTAGGTGATTCTGGATCCTGCCACGGTGATAATATCATGTTGATTTTTCTGGAACTCTCCAACTTGCAGGGCCTACTTATGGACCTCATGCATATCCTGTCTACGGACTCAGAGGGCTTCCCTCGGAGGGCTGTCTTACGGGTCTTTACTGAGTGGCTGAGGGATGGCCATGCTGATGTGGTTCAAGACACAGAGTGGTTTGTGGGCACTGTGCTGCAGGCAGTGAGCCGGGATCTGGACTGGGAGGTCCGAGTGCAGGGTTTGGAGCTGGCACAGGTGTTCCTCATCCAGGCAATGGGGCAGCCCAGCCTCCGCTGTCCCTATACAGTGGGCCTGCCTGAGGCCACCTCTCCCAGCCCACACCCAGAATTCTTGCAAACTCTTTGCCGTCTGCCGCTCTTTGAGTTTGCTTTTTGTGCCTTGCTTGACTGTGACCGACCAGTGGCCCAAAAGGCCTGTGACTTGCTCCTCTTCTTGAGGGACAAGACATCTTCCTGCAGTGGCACCCAGGAGGCTGGGGATAACCCTAGTTCAGCCTCTGTGGAGGCTGTGCTGCAGAGGTGGCGGGAGGGTGAGCAGGGCCAGCCCCTGGGGGACCTGGATCCTGAGGCCATGCTAGCTATCCTGCGGTCCCTGGACCTGGAGGGCCTGCAGGACAAGCTGGCCAAGAGCAGCGACCATGTGGAAAAGAGCCCACAGTCCCTACTCCAGGACATGCTGGCCACGGTGGGTATCTTAGAGGAGAATGAAGCTGACTGCTACTAAGGCCGTGTCCCCATCCTTCATCCCTCGCCAGCAGACGGACTCCAGCCCAGGCCAGTTGCTCATGAACCCTCCAGGGAGTGGATCAAAGTTCCTATATTTTAAGCCGGGTATGATGACACAATTGTGGTTCCAGAGTTTTAAAGGCCAAGGGAGGAGAGGTAGAGTTCCTGCCCAGTGTGGATTAGATAGCAATCCTGTCTCAAAAACCAAAACAAAAACTCTACCTTTTGTGTGCGTGTGCATGCAGATCAGAGGTCAGTCCCTGGTGTCTTTCCTCAGGTGCTGTCCACCAGTGAGGACGGGTCTCTCACTGGGACTTGGTTCTCACTGATGAGACTTGCCGGTAAGGTCCAGGGATCCTGTTCTCTTCTCCTAGCACTGGGATTGTGATACTGCATCCCCACACCTGGGTTTTTACATGGGTGCTGGCATCTGAACTCAGGTCCTCATGCTTGCACGGCAAGCACTTTATCCACTGAACCGTCTCCCCAGGCCCCACAGACTCCTACCTTCTGATGTATTATTAAAGAAGTGGCTTGTTTTCTCCTCAGAACAAGTAGCGTCCAAGTCTATAATCCTCCAAGTTAATTTTGTATATGGTTTAACATAGGTCCCACTGGTATTCTTTCATGCGTGGCCATTTCACGCTCTCTACTCCATCCAACGACCAAGGTTTAGGAGTCCCATCGTCTGTAATTTAATTACTTGCAGGGCGGTGTTAGTACACACCTTCTATCCCAGCACTTGTGAGGCAGAGATAGGTGGATCTCTGATTTCAAGGCTAGCCAAGACTACTCAGAGATAGCCTATCTCAAAAGACCAAAAAAAAAAAAGAATTAAAATACTTTGAATGTCCAAAGTTGCAGCTGTGGGTTCTGTTTAAAAGGGAGAAAAAGCTCCATCTTGTTTTAACAGGGAAGAACCAGGGCACAGTGAAAGCAACACCAACATCCAGCAGTGTAAAAGCTCAGTGGCTGACATCTCAAGCTCACTCGTGACCTGGGCTTCAGAAGGCTTGGGCAGTTCCGCTTCCGGACTACCGTCCACAACACACACAGCTGGTCTTCTAGACCTCATACCTGTGGGCATCCCATGGTCCTGGCTTCTCAAATAAGCTGGGCCTCTACCACAGCTAAGGTTGCGCCTTCACCGGTGGTCTCTCCTGGGTTCTTTTCGTGATCACTTTAATCCTGTGGCTTTTGTGTGATGAAACCAGTACCACACGAGTTTACCAAATTCAGCTGCCAGCTTGAGACAGTCTTGACCCCCTCTGGACCACAGCTTCTGTGTGTTGGTTCTGAAGAATTCCTTCTCAGATTTATCTCAGTGGTCCTGGTCTCTGTTGATCACAGCTGGCCAGAAACGGATTCTGGGGTTAAATATATCACGAGTGGCCCCATTAGTTTTTCTTCCTTCTTAAACTGTTAGAAGCCAGGCGTCGGTCGTCCGCATTTCTCTGAACACTCACACAGGCTCTCACACAGCCGTCCATCAGGCCTTGTGTACTGCCTGCCTTAGGTTTCTATTGCTGTGAAAAGATACGATGGCCATGGCAGCTTTCATAAAAGCATGTAATGGGGTGGCTTGAGGTTTAGTCCATTATCATGGCGGGACATGGTGGTGTGCAAGCACATGTGTTGCTGGAGAAAGCTGAGAGTTAATACATCTTTACTCAAAGACAACATGAAGTGGTCTGTCTCACTGGGAGTGACTTGAGCATATATGAGACCTCAAAGCCCAACTCCACAGTGATACACTTCCTAATAGTGTCATTGCCTTTGAGGGCTATTATCTTTCAAACCACAAGCACTCAATGGTTTCTTGAGCTGACAGATCCAGACACTTGTACAATCCTTCCCAAAACAACATGGTCAGGTCTGTCAGCAGTACCCCACTCCTGGTACCAAGTTCTATCCTACTTTGTCTCCTATTGCTATAATAAACACCATGGCTTTCTTAGGACTTCTATTGCTGTGAAGAGACTCCATGACCACAGCAACTCTTACAATGGAAAGTGTTTAATTGGGACTGGCTTACAAGTTCAGAGGTTTAGTCCATTCTTGTCATGGTGGGAAGCAGGATGGCATGCAGGTACACGATGCTGGAGAGGTAGCTGAGAGTTCTGTATCTGGATCAGCAGACAGCAGGAAGAGAGTGACACTGGGCTTGATTTGAACTTCAAAGCTCCCACCTGGTAACACACTTCCTTCAACAAGGCCATGCCTCCTAATAGTGCCATTCCCTATGAACCTTTGGGGGTCATTTCCATTTAAACCACAGTAGCCAAAAGCAGCTTGCGGAAGAAAGGGTTTATTTCATATTTTCCAGCCTACAGACCATCATGGATTCAGGCAGGAACCTGGAGACAGGAACTGAACCGGAGGCTACTGAAGAGTGCTGCTTGCTGTCTCATGGCTTGCTCAGCCTGCTGTCTTAGAGCACCCAGGAATTACACTACCCACAGTGGAGTAGGCCCTTTACCTTAATCATTCATTAAGAAAACGCACCCCCAGACTTGTCCATAGGCCCATTAGTTTTAGGCAGTTCCTCAGTTGAAGTTCCAGATGTCTCTAGATTGTGTCTAATTGACATGATACTAACTAGCACACGAGAAGATCCTTTTCGGGCTGGAGAGATGGCTCAGTGGTTAAGAGCACTGTCTGCTCTTCCAAAGGTCCCGAGTTCAATTCCTGGCAACCACATGGTGGCTCACAACTATCTGTAATGAGGTCTGGCGCCCTCTTCTGGCCTGCAGACATACACACAGACAGAATATTGTATACATAATAAATATTAAAAAAAAAATCCTTTTTCCTAGGTGAGATCTGGTGCCCCTGGGAAGGTGCCTGGCCCATGGGTGAGGGTGTGTCTTCTGGGCCCTGCCATCCGTTGGTCTGTGGGTGTTTATATGCCATACCATCATGGTTTCTCTACTTTTATTTGCTTTGTCTTATTTTTGAGACTTTCATGTATCTCATGCTAGGCTCAAACTTCTACATAGATGAGGGTGCTCTTGAATTATCCTGCTTACACACCCCAACAGTGCTGGCATGACAGGCATACACCACTCTGCTCGGTTTTTGCATTGCTGAGGGTGGAAACCAGGGCCTCGTGCATACCAGAGAGGCCTGCTACTCACTGAGCTACAGCCCCCAGCCTTTGCAGAGCTTTATAGTGATTGACTTTTGCCAGTGTGATCCCCGACCCCGAATTGCTTTGCTATTTGGAACTCCTGTGGCTCCGTAGAAACTTCAGTCTTGACCCCCTCCCCCCATTTCTATGGTAAGTGCTATGGGGATTTTGGTAGAAACCACCATTGACTTGTAGGTTGCCTTGGTTAGAATGGCAAACTTAACACTTCTAGCCTTCAGCACAGGGATGTATTCATGTAGATTTCTGGAACTCATTATCCATTTATGTTTTGAGTTGGGCAGGGCTGTCACCTCCTTCATGGAGTTTCCTCCCAAGTACTTTATTGGTTTGGATGTTGCCAATGGGGCTGCTTTCTTCATTCTGCAGATCACTGTGTGATAGAGCAAAGCAGTTCATAGCATGGCAGCCAGGGAGAAGGGGGGAGGGGAGAAAATGAATATATATATGAATATATATATGAATATATATGAATATATATATGAATATATATATGAATATATATGAATATATATATGAATATATATGAATATATATATATATATAATGTTCGGTGAGCCCCTCTCCATAGTTTTGCATCCAGGCCCCAGCTTAGGGGACGGTGCTGCCCACATTCAGGAACTTTGGCTCCAGAAACCTCTCCAGGTACACCCAAGTGTGTGTTACTCAAGTAGGTGCCACTCAGCCCAGCCACGTTTGCAGTCATTCACCATCAGGTCAAGAATGCTAATGTGCCTGTAATTCCTGGGCTTGGGATGCTGAGACAGGAGGATTGCAAACTCAGGGCCATTCCGGGTTACACTATAAGATCTTTTTTTATGGAGAAAAATAGCCATCATGAGTGGATAGATAGAGGCCTGCCCTTTGTGTTGACTCTTCCTCTCCTGTGACTTTAGTTAATCCACTTCCAACAGTTGGTGGAGTGCCAGTGCATAAGCTCATGTCATCTGGGGGAAGGTGGCTTTGTGTCCCCCTTCTCTCATTCGATGTCTTTATCTCTTTTCCTGGCTTAGTTCCCTGACTGGGATTTCCAGCACTGTGCTCCACAAGTGACAAGACTGGGCACCCATGCCTTGGAAAAGATTGGAGTTTTCATACTGAGATAGATACAGGCTGTGGGTTTGTCTCATAGCCTTTCTGATGGCACTTTCCTCCACTTATTCTGTTGATTGATTTTATTATGAAAGGACCTGAATGTCTTTTTCTGCATCTATTAGGATGATCATATAATTTTTATACATTTAATTGCATCTCTAATTTTTACAACTATTTTTATTATGTGAGTGTTTTGTCTGCCTGTATGTTTGTGCACCATGTGCACACAGTACCCACAGAGGCCAGAAGAGGGCATCACATCTGAAATTAGAGTTCCAGATGTTTGTGAGACACTGTGTGGTTTCTGGGAACTGAACCCAGGTCCCAGAATCAGACATATATATATCTGATACCTGCAGAGGTCAGAAGAGGGCGACAGATCCTCTGAAATGAGAGTCTCAGATTGTTGTGAGCCACCCTGTGGGTGCTGGGAATTGAACCTAGGTCCTCCAGCAGTAAGTGCTCTTAACTGATGAATCATGTCTCCAGCCCCTATTTTTTTAATTTAATTTTAATTTATTATTGTGTGTGGAGGTTAGAGGAACCTTGAAGAGTTGATTCTCTCCTCCCACCACGAGTTCTGGGGGTTGAACACAGGCCCTCTGTCATCACCTTTACCATCTTGCAGGTTTCTCAGTTTTGATTGCATGTTGAGCCCTCCTTGCATCCCAGGGATCCATAGTGGATGAACCCTTTCACATGCTGTTGAGTTCTGTGTGCTCACATTTGCCTGAAGAGTTTTGTGTGTGTTCATGAGAGTTTTTGTCTTCTTTTTTCCCTTTGTTTTTTATCTTATGTGTATGAATTTTGCCTGCATTTCAGTCTTTGCACCATGTGCATGTCTGATACCTATGGAGGCCAGAAGAGGGCAACAGATCCTCTGAAATAGGAGTCTCAGATGGTTGTGAGCTGCCATGTGGGTGCTGGGAATTGAACCTGGGTCCTCCAGAAAAGCAACAAGTGCTTTAAACCCCTGAGCTCTCTCTCCAGCTCTGATTTTTTTTCTGTGAGATTATCTGACTTTGGTGTGACAGTAATACTGATTTTACAAAGCAAGTTGAGAACTATTAGAGTTCCCTGATACTGGTATTGATATTCTGGGTTTTTTTGTTGTTGTTGTTGTTTTGTTTTTTAATTAGTGGATCTCTCTGTGTAGCCCAGGCTGCCCTGGAACCTGCTGTATAGACCTCAAAATCCCAGAGATCTGTCTGCATCTGCCTGGAATTAGATTAAAGCCTGCTCCCCCACAGCCACATGTTTTGGATTTTGTTGTTGTTGTTGCAGAATCTCATGAAGCCAAGACTGACCACAAATCACTGTGTAGCCAAAGATGACCTTAAGCTTCTGATTCCCCTGCCTCTGCCTCCCAACTGCTAGGATAAGAGGTGTGCACCACCACTCTAGGTTTCTCTAGTGCTAGGGATGGAACCCAGGGCTTCATGCATGTCAGGCAAGCCTTTTGCCAACTGATCTACATCCTCAGCCCATTGACAAGGATGCCCTATGACCCTCCATGTCTAGGGGCAAGTGGCACAGGGTTCAGAGTCTCTGACCTTGACTCCAGTTCTCACCAGTT